TGTCCTTGAGGTGGACAAGATGTTCAGAGGCCACATTGAAAACAACCTCCCCTTAGCTTGCGTGTGTGTATTGCATGGTGCGTGTGTGTATGAGTGTGCGCACGTTCTCTATATGTGTGTGCATGTATGAATGTATATGCATGTTGTACTCATGTGTATGTGCATGTCTGTGTGTTGTGTATGTGTGTGCGTATACACAGGTGTATGTGTGCACACGTGTAGGTATACATGTATGTGCATGTATGTGTATGTGTGCTTGTGTGTGCATGTGTATACATGTGCATGTGTACATGTATGTGCGTGTATGTGTGCACATGTATGTATGTGTGCATGTATGCATACTTGTACATGTGTACATGTGTGTGCATGTATGTGTGCATGTGTATATGTGTGCATGTGCATTCGTGTGTGCATGGACGCACACACGTGCGTGTGTACACGTGTGTGCATGTATGTGTCACATGTATGTGTGCACATGCATGTGCGTGCATGCGTGTGTGTGCATATGTGTGTGCATGCATGCATACATGTGCGTGTGTGTGAATGCAGACATTTGTGATTTGCTTTCTATGACTGGTGTTTGTTTACTTTGCTGGTGCTTGGGGCACCATATGGTGCCCAGACTTGAACCCTGGGCTTTTGCGTGTAAAACCTGTGGTCAACCCTTTGACCACACCCCCTCCCCCACATCCCGGCCCTAAAATTGAGATTTATTTTCATATAAATCACACTTTCCCAGCTATGTTGAACCAAGCAACTTTATCCTTGAGTCACCGGCACTCAGCTATGAATCTGAAAAAATTTCATTCTGATAAGGGAGTGGTCAGGAAGACTTCTGCTTGTCTTTGTTTGGGGGGGGGTTCACACCCCGTGATGCTGTGGGCGACTCCCAGCTTGGTTCTCAGGTACCACTCCCAGGGGTGCTGTGGTGGGGAAGGTGTCCCTAGGGATCGAAGCAGGGGCGTTTGAATGGGAACCCTGTTCTTAGCCCATTGAGCTTTTGCACCCATCCCAGGAAGACCTTTTTTGTTTGTTGTTTTTTAATTTGGTTTTGGGGCAACATGTCAACATACTCAGTGATTACTCTTCTGTGCTCAGGATCACTCCTGGTGTTGCTCAGGGTGCCATATGGGATGCCAGGGACTGAACCCAAGTCGGCTGCATGCAAGGCAAGTGCCCTACCTGCTGTGCTATCTTGCCACCTCCCTCCCCCCAGATTTTTAAAGCATTCCTTGTCCTGAGAAACAAACCATGTATTCTATGTGCTACCCCCAAACACTACTAAATATTTCCATTTCCCCACATCAGTTGCATTTTACACATCCGCCCGCCTTGGCGGCAAGGATGTTTGGGTTGTATCCAGATGTGCTCAGGACTGACTCCTGGCTCTGTGCTCAGGGGCTCAGGGCCACTCAGAGTGGTGCTCAGGGGCCCATATGTGGTATCAGGGATCAGACTGGGAGGTCAGCCAAACACAGGGCAGGCACCCTGCCCTCTCCAAACTCACTCTTTGGGGCTCTTCTATAACGGGGAGTGGGGGGAGTCATGCCTTAAATCAGTATGTAACTTAGGGGTTCTCACAGCCTCTGAGTCGGCCCCCCCTTTTCACTTTTTGGGTCACACCTGGCAATGCACAGGAATTACTCCTGGCTCTGCACCCAGGAATTACTCCTGGCGGTGCTCAGGGGACCCTATGGGATGCTGGGAATTGAACCCAGGTCTGCCGCGTGCAAGGCAAATGCCTCACCCACTGGACTATCACTCCCGCCCTCTCTATCTCCTTAGCAGATACCTTGTTCAGCAGAGTTTTTGTTTTTGTTTTCCCTTTGGGCCACATTCGGCGATGCTCCAGGCTCACTGCTGGCTCTGCACTCAGGGATCGAGCCTGGCAGTGCTTGGGGAACCCTATGAGATGCCGGGGATTGAACCCAAGTTGCTCATGTGCAAGGCTACTGCCCTCCCCACTGTGCTGTCACTCGGACCCCATGACCCCCACTTCCTTGGCATCGCAACAGGACCAAAGACAGAGAGAAGACCCGAGGCCACTGGTTTGGAATTTGTTTTAATGGAGATGGGAGTTTAGCAACTCAACACAGCCTCCCCCACCCCCGGAACGAAGCGACGCAAAATAACCTCTTCAGCTGTGGGGCCCGGATGGAACATCATGATTGGATCACAAGCTTACGTCGAAGTCACCAGAAATGTGAACCCCTTGTACAAAAAACCCCCAACAACTCTGAATACAAATAGGACCACTTCGGAAACAGGAAGTTATTTTTGAAACTTTTTTAAATCTAAGAATTTTGTTTTGTTTTGTTTTTCCTGGTTTTAACACGCATGCACACACACACACACACACACACACTCCCATACGTGCATTCACACGCATCAACAGGGGTAGGGCAGTGGTTGGTCCTGTTTGGGGTTCACAGGTAAATGCTGCGAGAGAATTGAGGGGGTGAAGCCCCCTGCCCAATGCACTGCTGAGGGAGATGCTTCGATTGAGTCTCTGGAAGATGAAGGGCCGCTCCCCAAGGCATCAAATTAGGGTGACAAGGCAGAGGGGGGTGGAAGGGAAATCAGATGGGATCCGTTTCCACGAAGCAAGACCCAGGTTGGGGAGTGAACCCTCAGACTTGGTCCTCGAGGGGACGCTGAAGATGGGGGCTTAGCACTCTGTGTGGAAACTGAGGCCCATTCTGGCCTATCCTTGGACCACACGGTCCACACCCCCCACTCCTGGCCTTGGTGACGTCACAACAGGAAGTGGTGCGGGAGTGGCCCGCCCCCACCCTGGCCCACATTCCTAACACATTTTTTGGGAGGCTCAGAGGGAGCTCAAAGCCCAGGGCTGGCGGTGTGGCCACCTACGCAGCAGGGGGCTGCCCGGCACACAAAATGAGTCAGCTGCTTTGTGGAAAGGTGGATGGCTTCCCTGAGCCGCGGGGCAACTGGCACCGCCCCCTCCAGATTCCTCCAGCCCCACCCCCTCCCCGGGGGCAAGTATGTCACAAACCACTTTTGGGGATATGGCTTTGCTCTTGGCACACCAGACTCCAGCCATCTGAGGCATCCTTCCTTGCACCTATCATCCATCCACTCGTTCATCCATCCTTCTTTCTACCTATCCACCATCTATCCAGCCCCCCACACTGACCCACTTACCATCCATCCTTCCACTATCCACTACCCTCATTTATCCATCCACCCACCCACCTACCCATCCACCCTCCATCCACCCATCCACCCACTGATCCATTTTATCCATCCATCCACCATCCATCCACCCACCGACCCATTCATCCGTCCATCCACCATCCATCACCAACTGACCCATTTACCTGTTTATCCATTCATCCATCCATTCATCCATCCACCCACCCATCCATCCACTGACCCATTCATCCATCCATCCACCATCCATCACCCACTGACCCATTTATCCATTCATCTATCCATTCATCCATCCATCCACCCATCATTTACACTTACCCATCCGTCTAACCTACACCCACCCACCCATCCATCCACCAGTCCACCCTTCCACCCATCTGCCATCCACCCACCCACCCACCCATCAGAGTGGAGTTCGTGATGGTCCTGCTACCCCTCTTAAGCACCTAGGGTGAAGCGCCAATGTGCCCTGGCTCCCTCAAGATCCCCCACTAGGGTCTCAGCCGCCCTGGAAGAATAGGGGCTCCGCAGCGAGACAGCTGCTTCCCAAAGGGTCTCCTTCTTGCCCTGGTGTCCCCACTCTGCCTGAGAGATTCTATAAGAAATGTTGGTTCTGGAAGTGGAAGCAAGTGCGCCCCCAACCTCGGGATTTGACAGAGACAACGCCCCAAGAATCTTCTCTCTGCTTCTACGACAAAAAAAAGTCCTGATTCACTAAAACAGGACTTCCTTGTTTTGGGGGGGTTAAAAAGGTGGCCTTATGCCCGCCAGCGTTCGCTGTCAAGTGCTCCGCTATTTATACCCTCACCCACCTGGCCCCGATGGAATTCTCTTATGTCTGCTGGGTTCTGTGCCGGTTCTGTTTCCTCTGCCCTGAGGCACCCACACAGAAGTGGGCCTCGTCTTGGCATCCCAGCATCACTCCTGGATGTGTGAGGATGTGGGAGCCCCCAGCGGGTTTCCCTGACGTGGTTCTGTTCTGGACCAGGCAGCTGGAAGATTCCATCCTGATTGACTCCACCCCTGGAGGAGGGGGAGGGAGGGCATTTCTGAGCTCTCTAGGGGGGCCCTGAGATGGGGGTTGGGATGGGGGTGGGGGAGTGGGGGATGGGGAAGTGGGGCGTGGGTCCTGAAGCTCAGCATCTCTAACTCCGCCTTCCGTGGTGATGGGCACCCCAGGAACTGTGTTCTTTAGGGGCGGGGGTGTGGAGAGGGTGGGAAGCCAGTGGACGGAGGCGTATCCATCTGGGGGCTCCAGCTTCTCTCTGCCTCTGAGACTTCAGCCCTGGAAGACCCCCCCCAAGGCACCTGCCAGATTGAGGGAGAAGGTCGGGGCTGGGGGGGGTGGGAGGAAGGGAACAGAATGCTGGGGAGGGGACTCAGCATGGACGAGGAGGGGGGAAGGAGCCCAAGAAAAGCACACACGGCCCCATGTCATCGCTCGTTCTCTTATTTCTGTTTTTTTTCCTTTTTTTGCTTTTTGGGTCACACCTGGCCATGCTCAGGGGTTCCTCCTGGCTCTGCACTCAGGAGTTACTCCTGGCAGTGCTCGGGGGACCCTCTGGGATGCCGGGGATCGAACCCGGGTCAGCCACGTGCAAGGCAAACGCCCTCCCCGCTGTGCTATTGCTCTGGCCCGCTCATTCTCTTGTTTCTCACTGACACTATGGACACACCGGGAGATGGTGTGTGGGGAGGGAGGGGCACAGGCCGTCCCGGGCCTGGGGGCAGTGGACACGTCATGCCCGGGAGCTTCCGGTGCGTCTCCAGCCCCCCCTTTCCCCACCCCACCCCCCTCGCCAGGTGCGCTGGACCCCGGTGCAGGCTGCCCACAGCCCTCCAGTCTCTTCCTTGTCCTCCCTCCATGTCCAGTGGGGGTGGTGGGGGCGTCCACGGGGCGTCACTGGGATGGGGTGGGCGGGGGTCCGGCTAGCAGGTGGTGGCCAGGGACTGGTGGATGGGCGGCTGGAAGCAGCGCACGTGCTCCACGGTGGAGCTGTCCGTCTCCACCGACTTCATGTACTTGTTCAGGATGGCGAAGACCTCGTTGTTCAGGATCTGGTACTTGCGGATGCGATCGGCCATCTTCTTCAGGGGCTGTGGAGGGGCCGCGACAGAGGTGGGGGGTGGGTTAGGGGCGTGGTCAGAGCAAGGCTTGTGCAGGAGTGGGGTGGGGGCTTTGGGGAAACTCGTGGGAAGTCAGTTCCCGTTTCCCAGAGATGGATGGTTGAATGTTGTAAAAAATTTTTTTTTCTTTTTGAGTCACACCCGGAAATGCACAGGGGTTCCTCCTGGCTCTGCACTCAGGAATTACCCCTGGCGGTGCTCAGGGGACCCTATGGGATGCTGGGAATCGAACCCAGGTCGGCCGCGTGCCAGGCAAACGCCCTACCCATTCTGCTATCGCTTCAGCCCTGTAAAATATTTTTTGTTGGGGCTGAAGTGATATCACAGCAGGGAGGGCGTTTGCCTGGCATATGGCTGACCCAGGATCGATTCCCAGCATCCCACAGGGGCTCTCATGCACCACCAGGAGTTATCCCTGAGTGGAAGCCCTGAGCATCTCTGCGTGTGACCCAAAAAATAAAAAAAAAAATTGTGCATCTCAAAAGCTGCAACAGCCTACTGGTGGGATGGTCCAGTGGGTAGGGCACTTCTCTCACCCATGACCCATGGCATTCCTGGGGACCACCGAGCACCACCAGGAGTAATAACCCCTGACCATCGCTGGATGTAATCCCCAAACTAAGTAAAAATAAACCAACTCCAAAACTACAGTAATTCAACCGGCATGGTGCTGGTGTGAAGACATTTAAGAATGAATCTGTGAGCCTGGAAAGAACTCTCCCAGATCTAAGGACGTTTGTTTGTTTTGGGTCACGCCGCCGGGACAATGCTCAGGGGTTCCTCCTGGCTCTGCACTCAGGAATCACTCCTGGCGGTGCTCAGGGGACCCTATGGGATGCCGGAGATTGAACCCGGGTTGGCCGCATGCAAGGCAAACACCCTCCCTGCTGTGCTATCACTCTGGCCCCTGAGAGGATTTTTATCAAGTGAGAACATTCCTCCTCCTCCTCCCTTATTCTCTTCTTCCTCCTTCTTCCCCCTGCCTCCTCCTCCTCCTCCTTTTCCATGTCTTCTCTCTTCTCCTCCCCTCCACTTCCTCCTCCCTCCTCCCCCTCCGCTTCCACCTCCCTCCTTCTCCCCCTCCTCTTCCTCCTCCCTCCTCCCCCTCCTCTTCCTCCTCCCTCCTTCTCCCCCTCCTCTTCCTCCTCCTCCCTCCTCCCCTTCCTCTTCCTCCTCCTCCCTCCTCCCCCTCCTCTTCCTCCTCCCTCCTTCTCCCCCTCCTCTTCCTCCTCCTCATCTCTGCAGCTCCAGGCTCAGCCCAGTCTTCAGGTCTTCCAGTCACCCCCAACCACTGGCTGCTGCTCCTCCGTTTTCAGCCCAAGTGGCTCCTTCCTCGTGGGCAGGATTCTGGGCACCCCCAGCCCGGCGCAGACCCACCCTCTGCCACCTTCACTCTCAAGGATCCCCCCCACCCCTGTACCGAACCCATGTCTTGATGCCCCCCCACGCCCCAGCCCTCCTCCCCGACCCTCCCCCACCCGCTGGCCCGCAGGTGCTCACCACGTTCTTGATGACCTCGTCCTTGCCGTCCTGCCGCTGCACCTTCAGCAGGTGGTAGCAGAAGTCGAACAGGTCGAAGCGCCGCTGCTGACCCAGCAGCACGATGATGGAGCAGCCGGCCCAGTTCAGGCCGTCCCCGAAGCACTGCCTGGAGGAGGGTGGAGTGCCCGGGTGAGGGACAGGGGAACAATGGGCAGGGGTGAGGGTGGAGGGCAGTGGGCAGGGAGCAGAGGGCAAGGGTGAGGGGCGGGAGTGTGGTCGGCGCGGTTGGGGGTGGGGGGTGGGGGAGGGGGGACGTGGCATCCACTCACTCGGCCGTGAACTCGTTGGTGCCCACGGGGATGCAGTAGACGAACTGCATGGCGCTCCAGAGCCGGTGGAACTCCACGCACTCGTCCACGTGCATGACGCCGTTGGTGGGCGGGGGGCCGCGCCAGATGGGGTCCTGCAGGTAGCTGCGGATGCGGGTGAGGATGACCTCGAACATGGACAGCCCGCAGCACAGCCGCTCCTTGGTCAGCAGGTCCCCTTCGCGGGCGATGGCGATTTGCTGTGGAGGAGGAGGACACGTGAGCCCCCCATTCTGCGGGGCTGGGACCCCGCTGCACCCCCAACACACACACACGCACACACACAAACACACACACTCAAGGCACTCCCACTGGGTACCACATCCGGGTACCACCTTCCAGATGGTACCAGCAGGGATGTCTCAGTCACGGGAAGGGGTTGACTGGGGGCTCGCCCAGCTCACACACACCCGGAACACCCCAGGTTCAAGCTGTGGGTGCGGGGGTCGGCGGGAGGGGGGGTCCTTCCACATTCTTGTCCTCTCCCTTTGGAAGAAGGAGCATGAAGACCCAATCTTACAGCCAGGGAGTGGGGAACCGTGGTCCAGAGATGTAGGACGAGGCATCAGAGAGGGCTGTGTACCTCCCAAAAGCTGAGATCTGCTTTTGGGGGTACACAATTTTTTTTCTTTTTTGGGTCACACCTGGCAATGCTCAGGGGTTCCTCCTGGCTCTGCACCCAGGAATTAACCCTGGCGGTGCTCGGGGGACACTATGGGATGCCGGGGATTGAACCTGGGTTGGCTGCCTGCAAGGCAAATGCCCTCCCTGCTGTGCTATTGTTCCAGTCCCTGCAGCAGATCTTGCGAAGTGGCACATGGTCCCCACGGCAGACAGAGCTCGTCAGGGTTGGAGGCTGCTGCTTCCAGTGGGGACGGAGGGGCGCAGAGACTCATGGGATTGCCGCTTATTGTTGCCAAGGTGGTTGTACTGTACTATGTTGCCAATTGTTGCCAATTGTTGTGGTTGTACTGTACTATGTTGCCAATTGTTGCCAATTGTTGTGGTTGTACTGTACTATGTTGCCAATTGTTGCCTGTACTATGAGCGGCTCTTAGAAAAAAATCTCCAGGGGCCAGAGCAGTAGTCCAGCGGGGAAGGCGTTTGCTTGCATGCGGCCGACTCAGGTTCGATCCCCGGCTATTCCCCTAGGGTCCCCTGAGCACCGCCAGGAGTGATTCCTGAGTGCAGAGTCAGGGATAACCCCTGAGCATCACTGGGTGTGACCCCAAAAGAAAAGAAACACAATCTCTTATTTTTCACTGGTTTTGTAGAATCCCTCTGAGTTCCGACCACGGATCTCCAGGAACCAACCATGTCACCGGGTCCCCCTTTGGGGGAGTGGCCTGTGATGACAGGGTGGACGAGGATAGTGCAAGGAAAGAGACAGAGCGACCAGGCAGTGGGGAGGAGAGCGATGACCTTGCACGTGGCTGACCCTGGTTTGATCCCTGGCACCCCATAGGGTCCCCCGAGCCCCGCCAGGAGTTGACCCCTGAGCACCACTGGGTGTGGCCCCCAAAGCAAAAACAAAGATGTACAAGTCTGCAGAGGGGGGTGAGGATGGCCGGGGGCGCCTCTTGGAAGCCATGTGCAAATGTGCAGAGTTGGGAAGCCAGATTCCAGGGCGGGTCTGGGAGAAGACCCCCAAGAGGGACAGGGCTCAGGAGGGTTTGGGCAAGGACCCCCATCGGGGTGGGGCTTCGGAGGGCTGACTTGGCTGATGATGTTGTTGGTTTTTGGGGGGCTGCTTAGGGCTGACTCCTGGCTCTGCGCTCAGGGATCACTCCTGGCGCTGCTCAGGAGACCCTATGGGGTGTCAGGGATCGAACCCGGGTCGGCTACCTGCGAGGCAAACGCCCTCCCTGCTGTCCTGTCTCCCAGACCTCATTCTCCTGGGAGGCCTTGGGCGAGTCAGCCCTGCTTAAACCTGCTGAGAGCAAGCACCCTCGCAAGGAGTCCATGAGGGACGCCAATGAGCACAGGGCCAGGTGTGACTCCTGAGCACAAAGCCAGGTGTGACTCCTGAGCACAGAGCCAGGAGTGCTCCTTGAGCTCAGAGCCGTAAGTGCTCCCTGAGCACTGGCCCAGGAGTGCTCCCTGAGAGATCCTGGGTGGCCTCCTGCCACCCTCCTAACCCGAGAGGCGTCTGAGCTCAGCAGAATGAAGTCACTGCTCTGGGCCTTTTTAAAAATTTTTTTTCTTTTTGGGTCACACCCAGCGATGCTCAGGGGTGACTCGTGGCTCTGCACTCAGGGATCACTCCTGGAGGTGCTTGGGGGACCCTGTGGGATGCCAGGGACCGAACCTGAGTTGGCCGTGTGCAAGGCAAACACCCTCCCTGCTGAACTATTGCTCTGGCCCTTCAGTTATTGATTTTTTAAAAAAACATTTTCATGAATTTTATTTTATGTTTTGCTTTTTGGGTCACACCCAGCGATGCTCAGGGGTTCCTCCTGACTCTGCACTCAGGAATCACTCCTGGCGGTGCTCAGGGGACCATATGGGATGCCGGGGATCCAACCTGGGTTGGCCACATGCAATACAAACGCCCTACCCACTGTGCTATCATTCCAGCCCCTCTGGGCCTCTTTGAGAACCAGGAAAACTGAGGCTGAGAAGTCAAGTGGGGTCAGGCTTGGGGGGGGGGGCGGCAGGGACCCCAGGTCCGACGCCCACTGCCAGGGAGTTCTTGCCCACCCCACTGACTGGCTCCCGCTGCTGGCCCCAGGTATGAGGTGGGCAGCACCCTCGGAACAGAGACCCCGTGTCCCTCTCCCCATGCGTGTGTTGGGGCCCCGTGTCCTGCAGACCCCTTAAGCTTACTCCACCCCCCCAACCCTTGGGGACCCCTGTGGCCGGGTAGCCTTTGCCCCCCCTCCCGCCCTGGTGTGCCGAACGCCCGGCATGGACAGAGTGGGCTTTTATCAGAGCCCGCGGAAACGGTGCCGGCCGGAGCGGGGATGGAATTCCCGGTCCTCTGAGTGGAAACAGATGCCAGGGTGCGAAAGGCCAGATTCTTTGGGGATGAGAGGATGGAGCCGCGGCTTGGGGGATTTCTCCCTAAAAGGAAATCTCTGGCGGGCAAAGCGCCTCTGCAAGCCCCTGACAAGCCCAGGAGGAAGCCGCGTCTCTGCCGCCTGGCACCTCACCCCTGCCCCCGGCTACCCACCTCTGGCTTTGCGTGTGAGGTTCAGGAGGAGATGCGGGGGGGTGCCTGTCTGTGTGTTCCTGAGGATGCCGTGACCCCCAAATCCTGGCCACCTGTGGGCCTTTTGGCCACAGCCTGTCACAATGAACTGCAGGCCACAGGTAGACGTGGTGTAGTGAGTTCTGGGTGTCTGTCTCTATCCCTCACCCCACACTGATTTTTTTTTTTTGGCTTTTGTGCGATGCTCAAGGCTCACTCCTGACTCTGCACTCAGGAATCACTCCTGGCAGCATTCCGTCTCCCCTGATCTCTTGTGGGGCTTTAAACCGGTCTTGAGATGGGGCCGGAGCGATAGTACAGCGGGGGGGGGGGGGGGGGGGGGGGGGGCGGGGGGGCATTTGCCTGGCACGCGGCCGAACTGGGTTCGATTCCCAACATCCTATAGGGTCTCCTGAGCATCACCAGGAGTAATCCCTGAGCACTGACAGGGGTAACCCAAAAAGCAAAAATAAACTGGTTTGAGAGGGGAGATGGCATTTGCCCGGGGTGGGGTGGGGGCTGTATCCTTCCCGGACCCCCGTGGCACCGGTGCTTTCTGACGTCAGGTCCCTGCTTTATGTCCACAGGCTCAGAGCCACGAGTGCTAGCCCCGGACAGTCTGTGGTCACAGGCTGACCCGGGGTCACTGCTACTGCTGAACTCCCTCAATGCCCACTCCTCCCTGGAGGAGGCTGCTGCCCAGACAAATGAGGCCTGTAACAACTTCTCAAGGTTTTTTTGTGCAGCGTTTGTTTAAAAAGCCAAGGACAGGGCCGGAGTGAGAGCACAGCAGGGAGGGCGCTGACCTTGCATACAGCCAACCCGGGTTCGATCCCCGGCACTCCACAGCATCTCCTGAGCCCCGCCAGGAGTGATCCTTGAGCACAGAGCTAGGAGTCAGCCCTGAGCACCACTGGATGTGGCCCCCTCAAACCAAAACAAGTTAAAATAAAAATACAAATGTTGGGGGCGGGGGGGCAGAGAGAGAGAGAGAACAGCAGGTAGGACGTTTGCCTTGCATGTGGCTGAACTGGGTTCAATCCCTGGCACCACCGCCAGGTGTGGCCTCAAAACTCAAACTAAGGGGGCTGGAGCAATAGCACAGCGGGTAGGGCATCTGCCTTGTACACGGCCGACCCGGGTTCAACTCCCAGCATCCCATGTGGTCCCCTGAGCACTGCCAGGAGTGATTCCTGCGTGCAAAGCCAGGAGCAACCCCTGTGCATCGCCGAGTGTGACCCAAAAAGCAAAACAAAAACAAAACAAAACAAAAAAACTCAAACCAAGCAAGCAAACAACCAAGAAAAGGATTTGGGTCCAGTGAAAGCCACCTGGATGTTTTCCTGCCATTTTCTTTGCTTGAACCGACTGTGCTGCAGAAATGGTTTCTGAGCCTGTGAAACTAGTTTCCCCCTGAGCGGGAACATGGATTTATACACAGTCAGCTCCCAGCACAAGGGGCTTTCGCTCCTAGCCCTGCCTCCCTACCACGGGGCCCAGAGAGACTCCTGGACATCCACGCAAGAAAGACCCCCACTCCCGGGCCTCAGTTTCCCCACCACACGCGCTCGGAGTCGCTCCTACCTGGGGGGTCCCCAGCCGCTCGATCAGGGGGACCAGGTGAAGTGGGGCATACTTGGCTTCCAGCCGCTTCATCCGCACCTCCAGCCGCTCTCCCTCTGCAGTGAGGGGGACGGGGGGACGGGAGGGAGTGTGAGATTCCGTGGGGGGGGAGTGGGACCCCCCCCAACCTCCCACACAAAACTGGAGTCCCTAACCCCGAGAGAGTACATGGTACGCCTGTTCTATCTCGGGTCTGAGCGGTGTATAACTGGGACCCGCCATGAGGAAAGGGTGGTACCTGCCTGTCACGGCACCCACCACGCTGCATGGCCATCAGCTCCCTCCTGCCACGCCGCGCAGAGGGGTGAGGCACGGTTAGGCAGGGTGATGGGACGGGGTGGGGGAGGGGGGAGGTCCATGCCGCCGCTCCGCAGGACTCTTACCTTTGATGTACACTCTGGGCAGAATGTTCTGGAACGGCGCTGCATGGAGCAAGTCACACACTTCCTCCTGGGACTGTAGTCAGGGGTAGGGGCAGAGAAGGGGGATGAGGGTGTCACGGTCATTTTGGGGGTGCACCCTCAAAACAATGCACAACAACAAAAGGAAAACAAAACACACACACACACACACACACACACACACACACACACACGGTCTTAACACGTGGACACAGCCACATGCCACTGCTGACCCAGTGTTACTGCATTAGACAGACGGTCCCACCAAAACATGGAATCAAGTTTGTCATATTGGTTTGGCAAATTGAAAAATATTTTAAAAAACCAAAAAAAAAAAAACCGGGCTGGAGCGATAGCACTGCAGGTAGGGTGTTTGCCTTGCACGCGGGCCAACCTGGGTTCGATTCCCAGCATCCCATATGGTCTCCCAAGAACTGCCAGGAGTAATTCCTGAGTGCAGAGCCAGGAGTCACCCCTATGCATCGACGGGTGTGACCAAAAAATAAAAACCCTGCCATTGCGTCGAAAATTAACTTATTGATAACTGAAAAAGTGTTTGTGAGTATGGAAAGCAGCCTCCAGATGGTGATGTCCACCACGGCATTTAGGTCACCTGGTTCCAACAGGGCAAAGGGCATAACACAGTGCCCGAGTATCTCCTGCACTGTCCTCATGTCGCCTCTAACCCCCACTTCTTCCTCCCCTACCTCTTGGCCATCTGAGGTTAGTCAGCTAAGGCCCAGGGTTCACCATGGGTCTACACTGCCTGCTCCCGGGCCCTGGTGCTCTGTAATGACACAGGTGCACTCACTCATCAGGCCTTTGCCCTCCTCCCTCTGACTCATCCTGCTTAACACAGTGCCCTCTGGTTCCATCCGTGTGGCAAGCAAGCAGCATGGGTTCATTTTTCAGAGCTGTGTACTATTCCATGGCCCACACCATCTTGTTTCTTCCATTGCTGGATATATGGGCTGTGTCTGCACTCTTGTTACCGTACTAAGCACTGGATGTAAGTGTGCCCGTATCTTTGGAATGAATGATTTAAGGCCTGGGTGGCAGGGGGCAGGGTGGGAGGAAGCTTTCATTTCATTTTCAACCAGGAAAAACATCCATTGCCAAGAACTTGCGTGTGGTGGGGGGCGGGGGGGGGGGTGGAGCGATAGCACAGCGGGTAGGGTGTTTGCCTTGCACGTGGTCAATCCAGGTTCGATTCCCAGAATCCCATAGGGTCCCTGAACACCGCCAGGAGTAATTCCTGAGTGCAGAGCCAGGAGTAACTCCTGTGAATTGCCAGGTGTGACCCAAAAAGAAAAAAAAAAGAACTTGAGTGCAGGACCCGGCCAAACCTGAGGGCAAGACCCAGCCCTGCTGCCCCCTGGCTGTGTCATTTAGGCAGGTTGCTTGACCTCTCTGAGCCTACTTATTTCATGGTAAAAAGTGAGGCTGAGAGCCAGCCACGGTTGTCCTGGATGGTGGTGGGTTTAACTGGACATAGAAGGTTCCAGCACCGTGTCAGACACTTTTATTATGAGCTCAGAGAGAAGTGCTCAAGAGCCTAAGAGAGGAGTCAGAAGTGAGGAAGAAGGGCGTGGGGATGGGCATGGGGGTCCCTGCTGGTACTTGGTTGCATGTGAGGCCTGTGAACTCGAGTCAGTGGCCCAGGGGCCCAGATCCACTCACCTGGGGTCCCGGGGTGATTCTGTATAAATGTTTGCTGGGTTTTCTCCATCCCAGACACCACCACGAAGGAAGGGGAGAGAGAGAGAGAGAGAGAGAGAGAGAGAGAGAGAGAGAGAGAGAGAGAGAGAGAGAGGGAGAGGAAGAGGGGGAGAGGAGAGAGAGAGGAAAGGAGAGAGAAAGGGAGGGAGGAAGGAGAGAGGAAGAGAGAGGAGGGAGGGAGAGGGGGAGAGAAGGAGGGAGGGAGAGGAGGAGAGAAAGAGGGAGGGAGGGGGAGCGTCCTGAGGCAGCAAATCCCTGAGAATAAGTCAGAAAAGCAACCCAACAATTGGAAGGAGACTCCTGGGGGTGGGCAGGCCTGGAGGGTCTGGACCTGCCGTCATGGCCACTGGATTTCAGAACCAAGGATGGGAGCCGGAGCACTAGTATAGCAGGTGGGGCATTTCCCTTGCATGCGGCCGACCCAGGTTCGATCCCCGAGCACCGCCAGGAGTGATCCCTGAATGCAGAGCCAGGAGTTGGCCCTGAGCATCGCCCAGTGTGGCCCCCAAACCAAAACAAACCCCAGAAAAGTAGAATGGAGAAACTGCCCCCTGCTGGTGGGGCATCTCCGTTCCTCTCTCTGCCGGGGCTGGGGTCCGAGCAGACTCAGGCTCCGCGAGTGTGGGTGGGCACCTGCTGGGGGCCCCCCAGAAACCCAGGTGCCCGAGCAGCCACATTCCAGCCGGCGTCTGCCCCGTGCGCGTGGTTCTACCCTCCCTGCCCGCACCCCCTCCCCCAGTCCGACAGAGCCGTGACCTGGATTCCTGGATTCCGCATGACCCTGCCTGAGGTTTGTGGCCGCAGCGGCCAGCACTCATCCTATAAATAGGTCCTGTGCACAGGGGGGCCCAGCAGCTCCCCACGGGGGCGGGACAGGGGGTTGTTGAGCAATGAGACCCGGCGCTGACCTGGAATGTACATTCTCCTCGGTGTTGATCCGAGCGGTGGCCAGGAATCAGGAGGGTCACTTGAAGGACTGATGCAATCAGTGCCAGAGGCACCCGGGCCTTGCTGGGCGTGGAGAAAGCTGTGTGTGTGCGGGGGGGGGGGGGGGGGGGATGTGAGGATGTAATCCTGCCGAACCAGAGGGATCTGAGTGGAGACTGCAGGAGCTCAGGCCGCCAGTTTGGCAGGCGGAGGTGGGGAGCACTCCTGTGCAAAGGCCCCAGGGCAGAGGAGAAGCTGGACACCCAGAGGAGAAGCAGTTCCCTGGAGGTAGCATGAAGGCCCCTCCGCTGGTGTCAGGGATGTCCATGGAGTAGAGGAAGGTGCTCATAGACTCAGGAGGAAGTCTGGGCTCTGGGTCAGGGGCAGAAAGAGCCAGTGCACGATCCACCCTCCACGGGTATACCGAGGGGCCTCTGCCATTCCCTGAGAAGGGTCCCTAGCAGGGCAGATGCTGTTTTGTTTGCAAAGCCTGATCTAGGGGTGGGGACGCCAACCCCCGCCCCATTCCCCAGCATGCGATTCTCCCACCCTGGGAGTGAGTGACAAGAGCGTGCCTTTCTAGTTGGGTTAGAAAAGGGACCACTAAGTGAATGATGCTTGGCGGCTCGCTCAGGATGGGAGATGCGTGCTGAAAGCAGATAAAGAACCAAACGTGATGGCCATTTAGTACCTGCATTGCAAACCACAACACCCAAAAGGGGGGGGGGAGAGAGGGGGAGAGAGAGAGAGAGAGAACGAAAGGGAATGCCTTGCCAAAGGGTGGGGGGGGGGAGGGATACTGGGAACATTGGTGGTGGAGAATGGGCACGTGTATGACTGAAACATAATCACAAAAGTTTGTAAGTCTGTAACTGTATCTCATGGTGATTCATTAAAAATATATATATATATATATATTTATATATGGGCCGGAGCGATAGCACAGCAGGTAGGGCGTCTGCCTTGCACGCGACCAACCTGGTCGATCCGGGTTCGAATCCTCCACCCCTCTTGGAGAGCCCAGAAAGCTACCAAGGGTATCTTGCCTGTACAGCAAAGCCTGGCAAGCTCCCCGTGGCGTATTCGATATGCCAAAAACAGGTCTCACAGTGGAGACATTACTGGTGCCCACTCGAGCAAATCGATGAACGGGAGAACAGTGATATATATATATATATATATATCATGTCTTTCCCCCCACATGCCCAGCCTGCAAACTCCAAGACCATGGTCCTTATGGGGGAGGGGGACAGGGTGTGGTCCCCACTTTGTGTCCTCAGAGAAGAAGCAGGAGGGAGGTGTGGGGGGCCCCGCCCCTGCCCCATCCCTGCAACATGTCTTTGGTGAAGTGTGTTTGCATCCGAGAGCAGAGAAACAGGCCCCACGGGGACACCCACAAAAGCCTGAGTCAGGCTCCCCCCCAATTGGCTTCCAGCGGGGCACCTGACCTCCCGGCTGCCTCCCTTCCTGTGGCTCTCAGACTCCCCCACCCCCTCGCCCTTGCTCCTGGCCTGCAGCCCGCAAAGTCCCCCCTAACCTGGTGGGGTGCCCTCCCCAGCTGCAGCTGAGCGTCTCTGGCCGCCTCCCAGCTCCCAGCCCAGCTCCCCTGCCATCTGACTGGCAAGTCCCCAGGGCCTCCTTTCAGATAGGACCTTTTCCCCCTTGGTGCCCTTGACCCCCCAGACCCCCTCTGTCCTGTCCTTGGCGGGATTAGAGTTGGTTGTTGCAGGGAGGGATGGGGCCGGGAGGTGGTTGTGTGGACTCTTAGCGCCCCCTGCTGGCCACTTTCACCCACGAAGGTGGCAGTGCGCTGGGTTTCCTCCTGGGCACACCTGGGTCCCACCTGCCAATCTTGTCCACCTTCCTCCTGCTGACCTACCTTCCCCACCCCCCCCCCCCCGTTAGCTACCGAGGCTCAGAACAGACTCCCTCCTTGGGGCCCTCTGACCCCGAACTCAGAAACGAAAGCTCTTTCAGTGGTGCCTACGGACAGCAGGAAGCATCTTTATTATTTCTGTTCTTGGGGCTAAGGCGATAATGTGATAAAGTGGGGAGGGGGCTGGCCTTGCACGTGGCCGGCCTGGGTTCAATCCCCGGCGTCCCGTAGGGTGCCCCGAGCACTGCCAGGAATGATCCTGGATCACTTCTAGGTGTGATTTCCCCCAGAAAGGGCACAAAAAGAAAGAAAAGGAAAGAAAGAAAGAAAGAAAGAAAGAAAGAAGGAAGAAAGAAATAAAGAAAGAAAGAAAAGCAAAGCTCAAGGGCTCTGTCTGGAGTGAGTAGAAAGCTCCCTTTTAAGGAGCTCCGATCCTGGCTCTGCGTCTCCCCTGCACCCCAGGGCCTCAATCCGCGCTTCTTCCCCCTCTTCTGCCCTCCCCCCCAACCAGCATGTCCCACCACCCCCCAACTCTGGCACCCCAGGTCCTCAGTGAGAAATAGAAGGCAGGGGTGGGGGGTGGAGGGCGCTTCCCTCACACACAGCTGATTTGAGTTCAATCCCTGGCACCCCCCACAGGGTCCCTCGAGCTGCGCCCCCCCTTCCCCCGGAGTGATCCCTGAGCACAGAGCCAAGAGTCAGCCCTGAACATCATTGGGTGTGCCCCCCATCCCCCACCCCCATAAAAGGGGGTTGAGCCTTCTCTGCTGAAGGCCAATGGAACTAAGCGTCCCCATGTCCAGTGACGCAAAGAGACCTGCAGCAGTGGAGGGGGGGTACCTGAGGAAACATAGCCCATTCACGGGCCATCTCTGGGGGGTCTGCATGGTGTGTGTGTGTGTGTGTGTGTGCACTGCTCAGGCACACAGAGGTGAAGGAAGCGAGCCCCACCCCCTTCATTTCTGAGGCTCAGGGGAGCTGGTCCCTGTGCCGGACAGGGCTCGGTTGCCATGGCAACCCCAGGCAGGGAGCTGGGCAGAACCTGTTTCCATAAAGAGGGACACGCAGCTTCTCCAGGGCCATTCCCCCAGCCGGGCCGGGCGCAGAGCCTCGTGACGCTCGGGAAGTGGGGGGGCAGGGAGCAGCCACAATCAGACGCAGGAACAACCCCCACCCCGTCTGAGTCCGCTGCCGCCACCCCCATCCCTCCCCTCCACCACCTACAGCTGCTTCCGATAGTTTCTCCCCATAGCCCATGGGCTGCCCAGCGGGGAAGGCACGGCGTTGAGGCAGGGTCAGTCCCCGGCACTCCTGGGGGTCCCCAGCCTCAAGCCCCCCTCAGTGTCCAGGTTCCGACATGTCCTCGTTGCATCTGGGCCCCGTGTCCATGACCCCACCTGGGCCCCCCCCGCGGCCATGCCCCGCCCCTGCCATCCTGTTCCTCTGCCTCCTCACCCCACCCCATCCCTACCCCAGGCCCCCCCTGTGACTTCAGGACACAGTTCTGTCCCCTGGGCACCGCCCACCTGCATCAGCCACACAAGCTGCCTTGGGGTCCCCCCCCCCGCCCCCACGGCATGTCGATTAACGCCCCATGGGGGTCCCTATTCACCTTTCACACAAACCCCACCTGGGGGGTGCAGAAGGGGCCCCCTGAGGCCAGCATCCCACCAGCGTCACCTCAGGCTCCCTTCCCTGCCAGCTCGGGGCTGGGCACACTGGGAACAGAGCAGGGACTGACCTGGCAGAGCGGGGCGTGACCCTACACCCCACACCCCACCCCCGAAGCTGGCAAGTTGCCCAAGGGGGCATGTGGGGGTAAGCTTGGACACTGGACCCTGGGCGGGGTCTTCAATCATCCCTCCTCCCTCCTTCCTCGCCCAACCGGCTTATGGCATTTGGGGGTCTAGGGTGACTGGAGCAGCTCAGGATGCGTGGGTGGAGCGTGGTCGCAGGACCCATGGGTGGACGGGACGCCCCTCCCCCTCTCCCACTCACAGCAGAGCGCCCACCCCACACTCGCTCCTACTATGGCAATGAGGGACACACACTGGGCGCTCATGCATGTGTCCTGGGTCCCCACGCGCCCATCTGGAGCTGTTGGATTTTTCATCACGGCACCGTGAAGGGCGGCGGCAGCACCCCGGCAGAGTTCTAGGCTGTGCCAGCTCATAAGGGCACAGTTAAATTAGTTCAACCCCACCCGCTGCTGGGCCAGCTAAGGGCTACAAGTTGGCAGGCATTGGGGGGCAGGGTGGGGGCCTGGGGGTTGACTTCTCTGTGCCCACCCCCGGCTCTGTGATAAACAACAGGCGCTGTGGACGCCAACCCTGAGCTTCACCGGGAGACCCCTGTCCACGGGGTGGTTGTAAGCACGTCCTGTTCTCCTGTGCTTCACCAGGACACGTTTAAACTGTGGAACTTCTAAACTATGGGACAACGTGATAGCCTCTCAGTATCTGTATTGCAAACCATGAGGCCCAAAAGGAGAGACGCGGTGGGGAGAGAGAGAGGCAGAGACAGAGACAGAGAGGCAGAGAGAGAGAAGACAGAGAGAGAGAGGAGCTAGAGCCATAGTACAGCCGGTAGGGCATTTGCCTTGCATGTGGCCAACCCGAGTTCGATCCTCAGTATCCCATAGGGTTCCCCAAGCACCGCCAGGAGTAATTCCTGAGTACCACCCAAAAGCGAGCGAGAGAGAGAGAGAGAGAAAGAGAGGCAGGCTGGGGGTTGGTGGCAGATGGGATACAGGGACATTGGTGGTGGGAATCCTACATAGGTGGAGGGATGGTTGTTGGAACATCGTGTGACTGAAACCTGATCAGGAAAGCTTTGTAACTGTATCTTACAGTGTTACTTTTTTTTTTTTTTTTTTTTTTTTGCTTTTTGGGTCACACCTGGCCATGCACATGGGTTACTCCTGGCTCTTCACTCAGGAATTACTCCTGGTGGTGCTCGGGGGACCTTATGGGATGCTGGGGATCGAACCCAGGTTGACCACGTGCAAGGCAAACGCCCTACCAAAAATGAAACAAGAAGTAATTACAAAATAAACTGTAGAATGGTGCAGCCTGCTGTTGGTCCCTCTGGTGCCAGTGTCTGTAGCACTGGAATGTGGCTTTGGGGTATCAATGTGGCCTGAGTCTCGGGGGCCTTTGTGGAATGGGATAGAGGCGCACAGTTACGGTGATCCCTTGGCCCATCGCCGTGAAATCCACGGCATCCCTGTGCCCCATTGTGTCCCGGCTCTCTCGCCGAGTTACGACGGGCTCAGGCAGAACAGCGGCGCCGACCAAGCGGTTAGGTAGCACCTTCTGTATACACGCGAGCGCCCTTAGTTTCCGGGCTCTGAGCCGTCCTGCAGGCCGGGCCAGTCCCCTCCCGACACAGTGAACCACAGATGCTCCTGCCCAGCCTGCACAGACCCAGGGTCCCTTGGGCAGACCCTGCCCTCTCCGCCTTTGGCCGCAGACAGGAGTCTCTGTGTGGGTGCCCCCTGCTGCCCGGGACTCACCAGGGCCTGCTCTATGAGCAGGCAGAACAGGATGGCGTTGCCCACCTCCCGCAGGCTTTGGAACACGTCGGTCTTGAGCTCCGCGTACTCGATGATGTCCTTCAGCTGGTGGTGGAAGAACTCCAGGATCCCTGCGGGGGAACATGGGTCAGCACGGAGCGAGGCACGGACCCCAGGCGTGGCCCCCGTGAGGGGCGGCTTCCAGGATTCCAGGGGGCGCTGCAGCCTGGGCAGCAGCAAAGCATCACCCACCCATATATACATGCATGCGCCACCCACTCCATCACAGCACGCACACACACACACACACACACGCACACACACACACACACACACTGTGGCCTGGTATCTCACAGATACGCATACGTGTACATGCACAAATGCCATGGTCTCGTCTCTCTCTCTCTCTCAGATACACATGCCACAGCCTGGTCTCTAATACACACAAGTGTGCGCACACACACACACACACATCTGACCTGGTCACTAATACACAGATACGTGTACATGCACACACACAGTGGCCTGGTGTCGCACACACATACACGCCTCAGACACACACATACACACACGTGGCCTGGTGTTTCTCACACACACACATGTGCATCATGGTCTTATGTGTGTGTCTCTCTCTCTCTCACACACACACCCCGTGGCCTAGTGTCATACACACTCATGTACACACACATATGCACACAAACACTATGGCCTGTGTCTCACACACATATACACACACCGTTGCCTGGTGCCTCTCTCACACATGCGCGTGCACACACACCATGGCCTGTTGTCTCACACACACACATGCACACACACACACATCCCGTGGCCTGGTGTCTCACACACACATGCACACACACACACACACACACACACACACACCCCAAGGCCTGGTATCTCACACACACACATGCACACACACACACCCCTAGGCCTGATATCTCACACACACAAATGCATGCACACACATACACACACACTGTGGCCTGGTGTCTTTCTCTCACACACACACATACATACACACACCACACACACCGTGGCCGCCTGGTAGCTCTCTCTCTCTCTCTCTCTCTCTCTCTCACACACACACACACACACACACACACAACAGAGGCATGCTTGCATGAATACCATGCCCAGTGTGTATCTGTGTCTCTCCCAGTGTCCCTGGACGTGGCCTGGATTCCCGAAGGCAGGGGGTGTCCCCAGGGCCACAGCAGGTGCCCAGCCTGTTCCCATGCCACCTCCTCCAAGAGCAGACGCCCTGCATGAGCGACCAGCGCCCGTTCTTCACGGGCCTCTGCGCGCCCTCTGCCCACGCCGCTGCCCTCTCTCCAGGCCCACGTCCAGCCGGCCCAGGGCTGCTCCTCTGCGGAAGGGAAGGGCCGTTTCTGCTTTTCTGTCCTGCCCGGGGACTGTCCCTGTCTCGCCTGGCCCCTTGTCTGCTGCCTGGACAGACAGAGCCCGGCCTCCCGGCCAGCACAGGACCAGCAGCCAGTCTGCCTCGCTCCCCCCACGGCCTGCAGTCCGGGCCACCCACCTGGGGATCCGTATTCGTGCCGGGGCAGGCGGCAGATCTTGGGCATGACCTCGATGAGCGTCTTTACGTACTGGAGGATGGTTCCCTGCAGCTGAGAGAGGGCGCGGGAGTGAGGCCTCGGCGTGAATGGGGGGGGGGGTGTCACCCACTCCCAGTCAGCATGCTGGCTCTCTGTGTTTTGTCTCGTTCGGGCGCCACACCCAGGCGTGCTCAGGGATCACTCTGGGTGGGCTGGGGAGACTAAAGGTCGTGCCGGGGATTCAGCCGAACTCAAGGCAGCAAGTGCCCTACCCACTGTGCTACCTTTCTGGCCCCCACCAGCAGGCTCTCTGGAGGCAGAGCCTCGAGGGGTGAGCAGGCAGAGCTCTCTGGAAAGAGCTGGGGTCCCTCCGAGAAGCCCCTCGTGAACCAGGGGTTTGGCCCAACTGGCTGGAGCGTGGGCTTTGCATGGGAGCGCCCTGGGTTCGAATCTGGTCCCCTGAGCACTGCTGGGAGGAATGCTTGGAACACCAGCTGGCGTGGCCCCCAAACGGTGAAGGGAAGTCTGGGGAGATGACGCGGCCTCCTGAGGACACCAGGCGCTGGGTACAGGCCCGGCAGAGGGAGGGTTCACCCCAGAAAGCTGCAGCACACGGGCCCGTCTCCTGGGGTGGCAGACCTGTGTCCCCCACGTAAGGGGTGTTGGTTCCCGCAGCCTGAGCTGCCCTGAGGCTTCAAGGGGCAGAATGACACTCGGGGACCTCTCAGAGGAAAGGGGTTCCCGCTCCTTACAACCCTGGGGCTGGCGTGTGCTGGGAGTCAAGCTAGAAGCAAAAGGGGTCAAGGCCGGGGGCCGGCCACCAGGGACACCAGAGAGGGTTGGCCAGTGACCACTTCCTCCTGTGGACAAGGAGCTGTCCACGGGGGCCCCTACCTCGGTTCCATATGGCCAGGTCGGGGTGGGGGGTGGGGTCTTAGTAAGGGGCTCCTGCTGGTGCACATTTCCGGGGGAATTTTGTTTAAATGTCAAAGGTGAGGGGCTGGAGCGATAGCACAGCGGGGAGGGCATTTGCCTTGCATGCGGCCGACCCGGGTTTGACTCCCAGCATCCCATAGGGTCCCCCGAGGAGCACCGCCAGGAGTCATTCCTGAGTGCAGAGCCAGGAGGAACCCCTGAGCATCGCTGGGTGTGACCCAAAAAGACCAAAAATAAATAAATAAATAAATAAAGAACCTTTGCTCGTGTGTGTGTGTGGGGGGGGGCGGGTCGGGGGGCTGGATTGACAGTCCAGCAGGGAGGGCATTTGCCTTACATGCGGCCAACCCAAGTTCGATCCCCAGCATCTCATAGGGTCCCCCAGGCACCACCAGGAGTAAGTAATTCCTGAGTGCAGAGCCAGGAGTGACCCCTGAGCATCACCGGGTGTGACCCCAAAACCAAAATGATGATGATGATGATGATGGGGCTGGAGCGATAGCACAGCGTGTAGGGCATTCGCCTTGTACGTGATCGACCTGGGTTCGATCCCCAGCATCCCCTAGGGTCCCCCATGCACCGCCAGGAGTAACTCCTGAGTGCAGAGCCAGGAGGAACCCCTGAGCATCGCCGGGTGTGACCCAAAAAGAAAAAATATGTCAGGGTGATGTGTGTGTGTGTGTGTGTGTGCACACGAATGCAAAGGACCCGTGATGGACATGATTGGTCAGAGCTGCCTGCCTGATTGGCAGACATTGGGGACCACTGACCAATGTCTGCCATGGGCCCCGGGGTGGGGGTGGGGGGGAGAGGGACGGCGGCACAGACATGACCAGGACCCGGTTCTGCCCCCGCTTGGACCTGGGAGCCCAGCACTGACCCCTCCCTCACCCAGGCCTCGAGCTCAGGGCCAGAGCACCGAGTTCAGCATTGGAAAATGGGCTGCAAAGCCAGAGGGGTCAGAGGGGCCCCCAGAAATGCAACAGAGCAGGTGCAGAGGGGTGGGGGTGGGTGGGGGTGAGAGGTGGGTCCCCCGGGGTGCCCCGGGCTGTTTCCTTACCAGGCTCTTGACGATCTTGAGCAGCTCCTCCATGACCACGGCGATGCCCTGGTACCCCAGGAGCCTGCAGATGGTCTTGAAGTGGGGGGGCCCCACGAAGTTCCGGTAGGAGCTGTAGATGTGGCTGTAGGCGATGTTGAGGGGCTGGAAGACAGAGTGGGGGGCTCGGTGAAGGCACCGGAGGTGCGGCGAGGAGGAGGGTCGCCCCGAGTGGGGTCGTGGTGCAAAGGGCACCGAGGGGGAACCCCCCCACCGCCTGCAAACAGGGACGCCTTCCTGGCCACAGTCCTCAGCCCTCTCGTCAGGGAGAGGGCTCTGTGGGGGGGCAGGGAGACAGATGGGGGTTCGAGAACTGGAAATCGGGGGGCTGGGGTAGGGGTATGGCCCAGACGCTGCCAGCTTTGAGGCTCTTCCTACTTCTCTTCCCCAACTCTGTGTTGTCTGTGTCTCTAAGGAAGGGGGAGGGGGCTTACGGAGGCCGGCCTTGAGGGTCTGGGGGAGTCTCTAACGTCTGGGGGGGCTGACTCCGAATCTGGGAGCTTCAGGCTAAGGAGGCGGATTCCTCTCTTCAGGTGAGCGGAAAAGCTTCACTTCAAGCCTCCAATTTTTTGGGGGGGTCTCTCCCTGCAATGTTCAAGGTTGCATGAAGTGGGGGGCACTCCTGGTGATTCTCAGCAGCCCACTGGAATGGCTGGTTCAGTGCTGGGGGGGTGACACAGTGCTGGAAATCAAATTCCGTGCCCCATTATTGCATACAAGGCAGCCCCTTGAGGCTGACCACTGAGCTATATCTTCGGTCCCCGGTCCTGAGTTCCAAGCATCGTTTCCCCTCCTGAGCCTTGGACCACCTCACGCATGCATCCCTTTAGCAGAAAGTCTCCCTCAGTGACTCGGGAATTAAAAAAAAAACCCTCCCAGGGATGGAAGTCATAGTCCAGCCGGTCAGATGTTTGCCCTGCACATAGCCAGCCCAGGGTTGACCCCTATTACCCCTTTATGATCTCAGAGTCCCACCAGGAGTGAGCCCTGAGCGCAGAGCCAGGAGTGAGCCCTGAGCAGAGCCAGGTGTGCCCCCCCCAAATAAACATAAAACCCTCCTGGGGGGCTGGAGCGATAGCACAGTGGGGAGGGCGTTTGCCTTGCACACGGCCAACCCAGGTTCGATCCCCAGCATCCCATATGGTCCCCTGAGCACCACCAGGGGTAACTCCTGAGTGCAGAGCCAGGAGTAACCCCTGAGAATCGCCGGGTGTGACCCAAAAAGCCAAAACAAAATGAAACGAAACCAAAAAAGCCCTCCTGGGACATGACAGGTGCCAGGAGGCGCCTCTGGGGACCTGGGGGTGCCCGTTCCCCCACCCCCCAGAGCTCTGGAGGGAAGGTGGCATCAGGCCAGCGCAGGCCACAGGTGCAGCGTGACTTGCTATGAACATGACGCTGACAGCTCCTGGTTGTAATGGGGACACTCAGAACGCACAACCGGGACCCCCAAAGAATGGGGGGAGGGGATAACGAGACCTCGAGGGTCCGAGTGCTCGTGGTGGGGGCATGGTCCCTGATGAGCCCCTGCCCCTGTGCCCCCTTTTCAGAGGGTCCATGAGCAAGATCTGGGTGCAGTGGGAATGCCCGGTTCCCGTCCCCCACCCATTTTTTTTAAGCTTCTTGGTTATTCTATATTTTTTCACCTGAGAGTCCTTGGGGATACATCACTTTATTGTTTTTTTTTTTTTGTTTTTTGTTTTTTGTTTTTTGGGTCACACCCAACAATGCACAGGGGTTCCTCCTGGTTCTGCACTCAGGAATTACTCCTGATGGTGCTGGGGAGACCATATGGGATGCCAGGGATCGAACTTGGGTTGGCCGCGTGCAAGACAAATGCCCTCCCCGCTGTACTACTGCTCCAGCCCCTCCTGTTCTCCCTTTTAGCAACCCCTCCCGAGCCCCAGTTCTCTCTTCGCTTGGTCTCAACTCCGAACCCCAGACCAGGCTCTGGTGCCGGGTCCGAGTGGGACGGCACAGCCCTCGGGGTGCCACATGCCAGACGCCCCGAGCGTGGCCCCCAGCCCCAACTTTTCCAGGGGACAGCAAAGCTGCCTCCAGCAGGACAGCTGGGATGGGATAGTGTCCACCTGTGCCTTGCACGCACCTGTGGCTCTGACTGACCCTTGGGCGGGGAGAAGGACACAGCTCCATGCCTGGAGGCTCTGGATACAGAGCAGGGCACCGTCCACCCCACACGGACTCTGCCCTGAGGCTCTCGCCAGCACCCAAGACACATGGCAGTCCACTTTTCGGGTCACACCCGGCGATGCTCAGGGCTGACTCCTGGCTCTGCACTCAGGAATGACTCCTGGCAGTGCCAGGAATCGAACCCGGGTCTGCCGTGTGCCAGGCAAACGCCCTCCCTGCTGTGCTATCACTCTGGCCCTGGTATTCACATTTTGCCGATTCTGGAAACACACCTGGTGGCCGCAGGGATGCCACCACCAGGACTTCCAGGTGGGAAGAGACACCCCCCCCCCCAACCTTCCCCAAGACCCTGCATCTCCCCGTTGTTGGTCCCTGCCCGGAGCGGCCTGGCAGGAAACCTGGGTCCATACACTGACCCCACAGGGGGGTTTCAGGGCCGGTTCAGATGCAGAGCGAGGACCCAAGGGGGACGAGAGGGCTCAAGGGGGCCAATCCCAGTGCCTGTCAGCGCACACGCCCCCCGCCCCCCTGCCCCACGCACACCCATGCAGGAGGGAGCACACCATGCAGGGGGGCACACACACCCCCATGGGGCACCCCTCTGACCTGCTGGCTTAGCCTCAGGCTGGGCCCTATGGAGAAAAGGTGGGAGTAAGGGAGCCGGGGCACCTTCTGGGCGTGGGCGGAGAAGAGACAAGAAAGTGACAGGCTTTAGTGTGGGGTGGCCCCCCGGGGTCTCTCCGCCTGGCCCTCCCCTCCCGGTGGGGCAGCTCCGGGTGGGGGATGAACCACAGCTGCCTCGGACCTTGGCTGACCTTTGAATTGGGGGACGGGGGCGATGGACAGTCTTTCTGGGTTATCAATGAAATTTAAAGTCTCGGGGGATGGACCGAACAGGATGGCCACTTAGTACTCGAATTGCAAACCGTAACACCCCAAAGGAGAAAGAGGGTAAGAGGGAGTGTGTCTGTCACAGAGGCGAGGGGTGTAGGGATGGGGTGCGGGTGGCAGGAGGGATACTGGGAACATTGGTGGTGGAGAATGGGCACGGGGTGGAGGGATGGGCACTTGATCACTATGACTGAAACAAAAATCGCAAAGGTCTGTACGTCTGTAACTTGTATCTCATGGTGATTCATTAAAAATTAAATAAATAAGGCTGGAGCTATACCACAGCGGGTAAAGGCATATGCCTTGCACACGGCCGACCCGGGTTCGATTCTCAGCATCCCATGTGGTCCCCCAAGCACTGCCAGGAGTGATTCCTGAGTGCAGAACCAGGAGGAACCCCTGGGCATCGTCGGGTGTGACCCAAAAAGCAAAATAAATAAATAAATAAAGTCTGAGGGACCCAGAGCAATAGTCCAGCGGGAAGGGCACATGCCTTAAGCATGGCTGACCTGGGGTTCGATCCCCAGCACCCTCTAAGGGTTCCCTGCATCCTACCAGGAGTGATCCTTGGGCGCAGAGCCGGGAGTCAGCCCTGAGCATCACTGGCTGTGACCCCCAAAGAAATGAAGCTGGCCCTGCTGGCCAGGGCAGTGGTTCCAAGGCTCCTATCACCCAGACCCTCAGGACAGTGGTGCCCAGGCCCTATACTTAAGACACCTGTCTTGGGGCTGGAGCAACAGCACAGCGGGGAGGGCATTTGCCTTGTAACCCGGGTTCAATTCCCAGCAACCCATATGGTCCCCTGAGCACTGCCAGGAGTAATTCCTGAGTGCAAAGGCAGGAGTAACCCCTGAGTATCACTGGGTGTGACCCAAAAAGAAAAAAAAAAGCATCTGCCTTGCTCCCCACCCCCACTAGTTTGACTTGATGCCCTGGACTGCCATGGTCCCCTGAGCACCAACGTGTGCTCAAACCCTGAGCTCAGAGCTGGGAACCCTGGGAGTCGGCATTTCACGGAGCTGAACTTACTCCAGCCCCTCCTGGTCCGTCCTGGGGCAGCCGCGCATTCTTCTTGGCTGCCCTCGCTGTCACCGGGCCACCAAGGGCATCCTAGCATCCTTTGCCGACCCCCCCCCCCCAGCCCTCCCCCCACCATCTACACAGACCCTCCTTCCGAACCAGGCTGGGGGGAAGCTGAATCCAAGGAGGGACGTTCAGTCTGACTCTCCTCCCCTGTGCGAGTGCCCTGGATTGGGGGGAGGGGATGGGGGGCCCTAATAGGGCTTCAGGCCTGATTTCCACCTTCCAGCTGGCCCCTTCCCCTAATTCCCCCCATCACAGAACCCAGGCCCAGAGTGGTGGGTGCTGTAGACCCGGGCTGGGTAAATGGGTGGAACCCCACTATAGAGGAGGGGGCAGGGCTGAGCCCCCCATCCGGACTGCGGGCAGACACTGTGTCCACAGTCCTGAGAGAGGGGGAGGGGGGCGAGGGGATCATGAGAGGGAGAATTGGGGTTCGGTGAGGACTGGGGAGGGGGGTGGTTGGAAATCAGCATCTCAGGGTGCTGAGGATGAATCTGCCTTTTTTCCCCCTTTGGCCAAAGCAACAGGCAGGCCCTCCCCGCCAGGTCCCCGAGCCTCCTGCGTACAGCCCCGCCGGTTGCCATGGTGAAGGATGCTTCAGACGTAAATGATGTGAGCGCTGGGGGCGAGACCGGGGATTACTCAGACTGCGGAGAGGGGCGTCCAGGAGAGGAGCGGGCGCCACCACAGCTGGCCGGGCCGCCCGTGGCTCTTCTCCAGGCCACAGAGAAGCCGCAGCCACCCACAGGTAAGCCCCCTCCCCCCAGGGCCAGGGAAGCCCCTCACCTATGCCCACCAGGGGCTTCTCTTTCCCCCTGCCTCCCTGCTTGGCTCAGGGCACAGAGACTCGGAAGGGGCACATTTGGGGCAGAGATGGGGTCCCGCTGCCCATGCAGAGGGCTGGGGGCATTCCCCCCTCCCCGCATGGCCCAGGCAGTGGCTGCGATGTCAGGGTCCGAGGGAAGAAGGGCTGGTGGGGGACACAGACACACTCTTCCCCCTGGAAGACTGACCGGGCCTGCTGGCTTGGCTCTGAGCAAAGAAGGGCTCCGGGTCGTGGTGGTGGCATTTACGGGCCTTTTCGGGGTGTCGGGGTGTATGAGAGGCACCCCCTCCCCACCAGCCCTCTTTTTTTTTTCCTGGAAAGGCTTTTCCAGCCCAAAGCAAAGGAACCAATCCCACTTCCTGACCATGTCAGGGAAATAGGACAAGGGGTACAGAGCCAAAGCACTTCTCATTGTCAGGGTCCCCACATCCCCTGCGGCTCTGGTAACCACAGGGCCAGGGTAGCTGGGCTGCGTGTCCAAGTCGCCAATCTACACGCATCTGATTTGGGGGGGGGGGTGTCCAGAGCTGCTGGCCTGTGGGGGGCCATGGGAGCTGGGAGGGGCTGAAAGAGCCGCAGGCAGAAGGTTCTAGAAGCGGAGTGCACAGCCCTGGCCACACAGGCAGGGGGCGTCCAGAGGGCTTTTCAACCGGAACTGCAGCCTGGCTTGGAGGTCACAGATGTGGGGGTGGGTGGCGTGGCGGGGTCCCGATGACCCCCCCGCCCTCACACACACACAAACACCTTCTTGCGTTTTCTTTTTTCTGTTCTGTTTTTCTGATGGTGCATTGAATGGCGCTGAGCCACTGCAGGGGGCAGTGGGGGGAGATGGGAAGGAGCTTGAGAGCCCAACGGACCTGCGCGGGTCTGTTTCGCTCCTTCCCCCTCCCTCCCTCCCTTGGTCTTTCTGCTCCCTGTATTCCTTCCTTCCTTCCTTCTTTCCATACTTCCTTCCTTCCTTCCTTCCATCCTTCTTCATTGATTTGTTCTTTTTTTCTTTTTCCTTCCTTCCTTGCTTCCTTCCTTCCTTTATTGGTCTTTCTGCTCCTTTTACTCCTTCCTTCCTTTTCTTCTTTCCTTCATTGGTTTGCTCTTTCTCTTTCTTCCCTTTATTTATCTCTCTTTTTTCCTTTTTTTCTTTCCTCCTTTCCTTCCTCCCTTCCTTCCTTCCTTGCTTCCGTCCTTCTTTCCTTCCTTTGTTGATCTTTCTGCTTCTTTTACTCCTTTCTTCCTTCTTTCCTTCATTGGTTTGCTTTCCTTTTCTTTCTGTTTCTTTTCTTTGTTTCTTTCTTTCTTCCTCTTTCTTCCTTTTTCTTTCCTCCTTTCCTTCCTTTCTTTCCTTCTTCCCTTCCTTCCTTCCTTCTTCATCGATTTTTTTCTTCCTCCCTTCCTTCCTTCCTTGCTTCCTTCCTTTGTTGGTCTTTCTGCTCCTTTTACTCCTTCCTTCCTTTTCTTCTTTCCTTCATTGGTTTGCTCTTTCTCTTTTTCTTTCCTTTCTCTCTCTTCCTTCTTCTCTCCTCCTTTCCTTCCTCCCTTGCTTCCTTCCTTCTTTCCTTCCTTTGTTGATCTTTCTGCTCTTTTTACTCTTTTCTTCCTTTTCTTCTTTCCTTCATTGGTTTGCTTTCTCTTTCCTTCTTTCTTTCCTTCTGTTTCTTTTCTTTTCCCTTCCTTCCTTCCTTCCTTCCTTCCTTCCTTCCTTCCTTCCTCCCTCCCTCCCTCCCTCCCTCCCTCTTTGCTTCTTTCCTTCTCTTCCACACCCAAGCCAATGCTCAGGGCTTTCTCCTGCCTCTGCACTCAAGAATCACTCCTGGTGTTGCCCAGGGGCCGTTATGGGATGCTGGGGATCAAACGCAAGTCCGCTGCCCTCTCAGCCCCAGCCCCAAGTCCTGCTGTTTCTGGCGCTCCCGGGGGGGTCTGCAAGACCCGGGGTGCAGGTGGGGGGGCTGGGCCTGCCAGCTGACACTCACTCCTCTGCATGCTGGCTGAGCCAGGGTGGGGGAGGGGTGCGCCCTGGGCCGGAACCACGGCGCGCCCCTTCTCCGCGCCCCCCGGCTCCCCCGTCTTCCAGGGCCAGGATGAATCTGGAGGTGGGGAACGTGTCCTGCACGGGGGCGCTGGTGTCCTGGTCGTCGTCCGAGCCGTGCCTGGAGGATTTCTACCACGTGGCCTACCGGCCCAGCTGGCAGAGCGTCTTCTCGGGCTACCTGCGTCACGGGCCGCAGCACGAGGAGAGGGTGCCCCGCGCCGTGGGCTCGCTGGCCCTGCGTCACCTGGCCCCCGCCACGCTCTACTTCCTGTGCGTCAGCTGCCAGCGCGCGGGGGCCGACCCCCACCACCACTGCACCGTGTTCCACACGCTGGAGAAGAAGGCGCCCGCGCCCACCCTGGCCGACCCCCAGCTGTCGCTCTGGGTGCTGCTGGCCGTGCTGCTGGTCTGCTTAGTGGCCGTGCTGGCCTTCGTCTGCCTGCAGTTCTGGTGCGTGCGCTCCCACGAGCCGCGCTGGGCTTACCGGGCGGGGCCGCCTGGAGGAGGCCAACGGGCTGGTGCGCTGGCCCGAGGAGGTGCCCGCGCTGGGCCTGCGGGAGGAAGACATCGCCCAGGAGCTGGCGCTGGCCGAGCTGGGGCTGCAGGATCCCCGCCCGGTGCCCGGGCCCGGCGTCTTGGCCATGCAACTGGGGCGAGGGGCTCACCGGGGCCGCCGGGAACGGGGCGCCCGGGGGCTGCCGGGGGCGGCCCCACCGCGCGCGCGCATGCTCCCCGCTCTGGCTGAGCCTCTGTAAAATACATGTCTGGAGACCCCCACGCCGGCGCAGCCACCTCTGCCCTGCAGTGACCCCGCCCCTCCCCCCGCCACCCCACCTCCCCCCGCTTTTCTGTGGTCCACCGTGCTGGGTGTCCCACAACCTCTGCTAAACTTTCCAGAGCTGGAGACGCCACACCTCGGGGTGCCTGAGGGGAGAATGGGCCCCCCACCGCAGGGGGTTCCCCCTCCCCCCGAATGTCAGAGATGCGAATTGTACAGTACAGCAGGGAGGGCGCTGGCCTTGCATGTGGCCGACCCGGGTTTGATCCCCCGATATCCCACCATAGTGTCTCCTGAGCCTGCCGGGAGCGATCCCTGAGCACAGAGCCAGGAGTCAGCACCTCTAGAGATGCCCCCGCCCCTCCCCCACCACAGAAGCGTTAAAAAAATAAATAAAAGTGATGATTTTAGCTGCAACAGGCTGACTCTCCTACGGGCGTGATTTATATACCTCAAGGTCTTCGGAGGGGCTTGGGCGGGGGGGATTGCTGTAAAGAGGCTCTCTGGGTTGGGGGCTTATTTTTTTAAAGTTAAGAGATGCCTCCTTCTGGAATATTCTGCCTGTCGAGGGGTTCACCTGCCGCCTTGGTGAAAATGAGATCAAAGAGGCCCACCCGTGAGTGGGGGCTACCTTCTAGCTGCCCCACTGCCCTGGGGGAGAGAACCGGGACACCCCCCCTACACACAGCATGGGGCTGGGGGTGGGGATGGTCTGGGACCCTCCCTCTAGTCCACACTTGAGGACGGGGAGAAGAAGGTACATGCAGTGACCGCAGCACACATGGTGGTCATGTTATGTATGACACAGGTGAATGGTGGGGTCCTGGGGCACACGGAACAGATGGGACAAAGGTATGCCCCTCCCCCACTCCCCAAACAGCTTCAGCCCTGCACACACCCCTCCCCCACCCCGCTCACAGGCTGATGCATCCCAGGCTGATCCAGCCACGGCGCAGGCCAGGACCAGAGGGACAGCCCGGAGGAGATGTAACCCCCCCATACCTCTCTGCCCTGCTCCCCCCAAACTTCATACCCAGGGGCCAGAGCAATAGTCCAGCAAGGAGAGGGTTTGCTTTGCACACAGCCGACTCGGGTTCGATCCCCAGCATCCCATAGGGTCCCCTGAGCACCGCCTGGAGTAATTTCTGAGTGCAGAGCCAGCCCTGAGCATCACTGGGTATGCCCCCCCCCAAAACAAATCCCAATTTCATGCCTAATTCCACACCGTGACAGTAAGAGGGAGCCTCATGCGTGCCTTACACTGGCCCCTGCCTGCCGTGCTCACCTTGGACCCGTACAGGTAGTAGGGCTGCACATTGGCCGGCTTGTCCCTCTGCGGCTCCTGGGTGAAGGGAATGGCCGTCCGCACAAAGCTGGTGGGAGAGAGACGGGGTAGGGGGCATTCACCATGGGGGCTACTCTGCACTCACACACACACATGCACACACAGATACAAATGCACATACACATGGACACACGTGTACACTTGTATACACGCACACACGCATATGCACACATTCACACACATGCACATACACACATGCACACACATACACAAATGCACACGCACACGTGTACACATGTACACATGCACACATGCATATGCACAGTTATGCACACATATGCACGCACATGTACACACATACACATATGCACACACACATGGACGCACACACACACACACACACACGCCCCGCCCGCCCCTGCCAAGTGCCCTCACCGGTTGGTGGAGCCGTTGTAGCAGTAGTTGGGCAGGAAGTCGAAGTTGAGCTCCCAGAAGACGTGCAGGGTGATGCGGCCGTAGGGCGCGGACACGTTGTGGTTGGCCTCCCGGAACATGGCGTCGAAGCTGTCCAGGGTCAGGTGCTTGCACAGGAGCCGGTGGGTCAGCCGGTTCACCTCCAGCAGCCACTCCAGCTCCTGCCGGGGCGAGCGGGGCTGAGCGCGGGGCCACCACTGCGCGGGCCGCTGCTGCCTCATCCACTTCCCTTCGTGTGCGCGGGTGGCCACACCTGACCGCCCTCCACAGTGCCCCCTTGTCCACCCTGGCCCTCCCCCCACCTCTCTTCCCGCTGTTTCCATGAGGGGCAAGCAAATCCCTCCGTGCCAGCAAGTGGGAGCTACTGAAGCCGCCCCCCCATATGTCTGCAGGGGCGCCAGCACACCCCACAGCGGGTCAGAAAGGGCGGCAGATGGGGACAACTAGGTCCCTGGGAGCTGCCGAGGCTCCTGAATTCAGTCCTGTGGGGCTTCCTACAGGTGGTCACTAGGTGGCGCTGTCCTCCTGCATGAGGCCCCCTACATGGGCACTAGGTGGCGCTGTCCTACTGCATGAGGCCCCTACATGGCCACTAGGGTGTCCTAGGCGCTGCGCTGGCCCTTCCAGAGAGTTCCAGAACCCGGCCCCCCTCTCCTCCTCCCCCCGCCCCCATCGCCTCTGCTCTCCAGCACGCAGCTGTGCCCTGGTGACTCAAGCGTCTCTGTATCCAGCTTCCCCCCACCCCCCCACTGCCCACTGCCCTGCGCCCCACCCCCCAGGTCCCCGCATGTGTGTGGGGGGGGGGGGGCATCCTCACCACAATGGACGTGAGGTCCTCGCTCTCAAAGCGGCTGATGGCCTGGTCCAGGGACTTGTACATGGCGGCCGAAATGCGCTGCGTGATGAGTCTGTTCAGGTCGATGGATCTGCCCAGCAGCTGCCCGGAGGGAGGAGAGAGGGAATCTGGCGGGGAGGGTCTCCCAGCCAGCAGAGCCCTCCCCTCCAGCCCCCTCTTACATTAACCCTGGCGGGAGAGGGGGCACCAAGGGCCTGGAGCACCCCTGGACACACGAGGCCTCCGGTTAGCACCGCTTTATCAGGGGTCATCTACTTGTTTCAGGGGGTCCATGCTGAGGGCGAGGGGTGCACTCTCAGACACGAGAAACCAGTTAGAAAATGAGTCTGGGGGCTGGAGCGACAGCACAGCAGGGAGGGTATTTGCCTGGCATGCGGCCAACCCAGGTTCGATTCCCAGCATCCCATAGGGTCCCCCAAGCACCACCAGGAGTAATTCCTGAGTGCAGAGCCAGGAGTAACCCCTGAGCATCGCTGGGTGTGACCCAAAAAGAAAAAATAAAATAAAATAAAATAAAATAAAATTAGTCCGTTATATATTTTTTACTTGGGGCAGGAGGGTGCACACCTGATGATGCTCAGGGCTGGCTCCTGGCTCTGTGCTCAGGAATGACTCCTGGTGGTGCTCAGGGGACCAGATGGGATGCTGGGGATCGAACCCGGGTCAGCCATGTGCAAGGCAAGCACCCTCCCCACTGTCCTATCGCTCTGGGCCAAAATGCTTCTGGTTTCAGTTTGTGTTGGAGCCTGGGGTGCTCAGAGATCACTCCTGGCTGTGCTCGGGGATGCCAGGAATCCAACCCCAGGTCAGCCGTATGCAAGGCAAGCACCCTCCCCACCGTACTATCACTGAAAATGCGTCTCATTGAGACAGACGTGTGTGTGTGTGTGTGTGTGTGTGTGCGTGTGTGTGTATTAGACCGTGTGGCTTGTGAAAAGGGAGGAACACACGCGAGAGAAAGAAAGCGAGCCGCGTCAGTGGGGTGGTTCTCTGAAACAGTGAGAGTCAGATGCATCAGAAGCCCCCCCAGGAGACGGCAGGCAAATTCAGCAGCCCTGCGGGTCTTCCTGCATGGGGCCCCAGGTGGCCACTAGGTGGCGCTGTCCCACTGGCAAGGCAGGAATTTGAAAATGAGGGAGGTTGGCCTGAACCACAGTTCTGCAGGGAGGGCGGTTGTTGCCTTTGCATGCAGCCGATGTGGGTTCAATCCCCGGCATCCCGTACTGTCCCCGAGCCCCGCCAGGAGTGACTCCTGAGTGCAGAGCCAGTAGTCGGCCCTCCCTGAGCACTGCCAGGTGCTTCAGAACAAAGAAAAAAAAAGGGCCAGGAGAATTGCTCCATGGCTTGGAAGCTGGTCTCATGTGCTGGGGGAAAGGGCAGCTGGGATAGAGAAGGGAGCACTGAGTAAATGATGCTTGGAGGTCTCGCTCGAGATGGGAGATGCGTGCTGAAAGTAGACCATGGACCGAACACGAGGGTCGCTTAGTACCGATATTGCAAACCATAACACCCAAAAGGAGAGAGAGAGTAAGAGGGAATGTGCCTGCCACAGAGGCAGGGAGTGGGAAGGGGTGGGGGTGGTGGGAGGGATACTGGAATCATTGGTGTTGGCGAATGGGCACTGGTGGAGGGATGGGTGCTCGATCACTGTATGAATGAAACTTAATTACAAAAGTTTGTAAATCTGTAACTGTATCTCGAGGCGATTCATGAAATAAATGGTCACAGTCCTCCCGTTGTTCATCGATTTTCTTGAGCAGGCCCAGTAACGTCTACATCGTGAGACTTGTTACTGTGTCTGGCATGAGACTTGTTACTGTGTCTGGCATATCCAATATGCCATGGGGAGCTTGCCAGACTTTGCCGTGTGGGCGATATACTCTCGGTAGCTTGCTGGGCTCTTCGAGAGGGATGGAGGAATCGAACTCGGGTTGGCCTCGTCTGCCATGTGTAAGGCAAACGCCCTACTCGCTGTGCTATTGCTCCAGCCCCATGAAATAAATAAATAATTAATAAAGGCAGAATGTTGGTGGCCCTACTGGGCAACAGAGGACAGATGATAAGAAATATCAAATATCCTGCAGACGGCAACACACACCAACTGGGCACCTGCTGTATGCGCCGTTTGGCTCTTCCTAAAGGGCGAGTGACTGGAACGTTTTTCTTTTCCCACATGGGGAGACCAAGGCCTGTGCAGTCTTGGGGTCTCCAGAAAGGGAACTCACAACAGCCCAGGGCTAAGACTGCCATCAGGAACCTTCCCGAAGGAGAGAAAGCTCGGAGCCTCCATATTGATGGCTGAAAGATGAGGCCCAGCTTCCCCAGAATTCTCAGAGCTCCGGGGGAAGTGTCCCAAGTCAGGCCCCGCCTACGGCCCCCCCCATGGCCTTGTCTCCCTTCCCCTCCCCCATAACCCCCCCTGGTATGGCCTCAGGGTCAACACACAGCTCAGGGCCTGGGGCTGCAGGGCACTCTGCAGAGAGCAGGGCACAGGAGTGGGGTGCGAATTCTCGGACACCCCCAACTTCGCACAGCTCACGCTCCCACTTTCAGGCAGCGTGGATAACCCCCCCCGTAACACTTTTTTTGCATCCGGGTCACAAGTGAACAGAGGGTAGGGAGGCAGCTGGGAGGATTGGTGGAGTGAACTCTGCCTGGTGTGCATGGGGGGGGTCCCAAGTTCCATCCCTTCCCCTCCCCCAGCGCTGCTGGGGGTGGCCTTGGTGGCCCCTGAGTCCTTGCTGGGGATACATCCCTCCCCCAAACTGGGCATAAAGTTAGCAGTAAATACAAGCACAGGGGCTAGAGTGATAACACAGAGGGTAGGGCGTTTGCCTTGTATGCGGCCGACCCGGGTTCAATTCCCAGCATCCCATATGGTCCCCTGAGCACCGCCAGGAGTAATTCCTGAGTGCAGAGCCAGAGCCAGGAGTAACCCCTGTGCATTGCCGGGGGTGACCCAAAAAGCAAAAAAAAAAAAAAAAAAAAAAAGAAAAGAAAAAACAAGCACGACAGCAGCCTGGGTTCATTCAGAGACCCCCACAGCCAGCAGGGTGGGGCAGAGAGATCCCTTCCGGGGCAGACAGAGCCCTTCCAGGTGGCTGTCCCGTGACAAGGAAGGAGGACCAGGCTGCAGGCGTGGCGCTGGCCAGACCAAGCTGCCCAGGGGCTGGGGTTCGAGGAGCTGGGCCACCCCCTGCTCAGCGGGGCCCTGGGTTTGGGAGCTACAGGCCAACCCCGAGCCACCGGGCCCCACCCACCTGCACGTGTCTTTGCTTCAGCAGCGTCTCGTAGCGGTTGGACGGCGGGTAGGGAATGATGACCCCGTAGTTCTTGCACTCGGCTCGGAAGCGCTTGTCCAGAAGGACGCTGGGTGGGAGCACGGGAAAGGAGGGGAGTGAGTGTGACAGGGAGGGGCCACGGCTGCAGGCCACGGAGCCCGCCCACACTGTACAGACCATGGCAGCCGTGATGCCACAGGCCGTGGCACTGACCCATGCAGCTACAGACCACAGTATTGTCCCACACAGCTATAAGCCACAGCACTGGCCCATGACACAGCTACAGGCCACGGCAGCCGTGATGCCACAGGCCACGACACTAACCCACACAGCTACAGACCATGGCACTGGCCCATGACGCAGCTATAGGCCACAGCAGCTGTGATGCCATAGGTCACAGCACTGACCTACGCAGCTACAGGCCACGGTACTGACCCACACAGCTATAAACCACGGCACTGGCCCATGACACAGCTACAGGTCATGGCAGCTGTGATGCCACAGGCCACGGTACTGATCTACACAGCTGTAGGCCTCGGCACTGACCCACGCAGCAACAGGCCATGGTACTGACCCATACCGCTATAGACCACAGCACTGACCCACACAGCTACAGCCCACGGCACTGGCCCATGATGCAGCTACAGACCACAGCAGCCGTGATGCCACAGGCCGTGGTGCTGACCCACACAGCCACAGGTCACGGCACTGGCCCACACAGCTATAGACCACGACGCTGACCCACAAAGAACAGACCACGACAGCCACGATACCACAGCCCATGGTACTGACCCACGCAGCTACAGGCCACGGCAGCTGTGATGCCACAGGCCATGGCACTGACCCATACAGCTACAGGCCATGGCACTGGCCCACACAACTATAGACCACAGCAGCCGTGACACCACAGCCCACAGCACTGACCCACATAGGTACAGGTCACGGCACTGACCCACGCAGCTACAGGCCACGGCAGCCATGGTTTCCCACACAGCTGCAGACCCCAGCATCCACCCCACCCAGTGCCAGCATTTATATTCCCCGTCCCACCGTTTCCGGCTTGGTGACCAAGTCCTTCACATTCCATCTCATCCCAGAAGCTCAGTGTGCAGCGTTGGGTTTGTCAGAGAAAGCTGGAAAGCAGTTGGCCGGAGAAGCCCCGTGCCAGAGACATTCTTGGCCCCAGGGGAGGCGTCTGTCCCAGTGGCGGGGAGTGGACGGTGGAGAGAAGGAAGCCGTTCCGTCCAGTGGGGGACACCCAGGCCCAGCCTTTACCTGCTGCCAAGGGGTGCCCGCCTCATATTCACGTAAGCACATGCACACTCACATGTGCACACATATAGCACACATGCTCACATACCTGTACTCACACGCATGCATACACATGCACACGCGTGCACGTGGTTCTTCTAAGTCCCAGCAGCCCTATGGCTTTTTTATTTTTAATTTTGTTTGCTTCTTGGGTCACACCCGGAGATGCACAGGGGTTACCCCTGGCTCCTGCACTCAGGAATGACGCCTGGCGGTGCTCGGGGGACCCATGGGATGCTGGGGATCGAACCCGGGTTGGCCGCATGCAAGGCAAAAGCCCTCCCCACTGTGCTATCACTCCAGCCCCAGCCCTGTAGTTTAGACAGGCAATCATGTCCGTCTCTGTGGCTGAGAACCAGGAAGCAGATGACCAATGCTCTGACAGTCATAAACGCGAACCCGTGGTGGCCTTTCCTGGGGACAGGCTGTCCATTCCAGGCCCCCCCGCTCCCCCCCAGAGTAGATCCACCAAGCTCAGGACCCTCGGCTTGCTTGGGTACTCTGATCGCCACCGAGAAGGGAAACTTCCTTATTCCATCTCCTCCCTGTATCCCCGTGTGCACCCCCCCCAGAACAACAGAACCCCAAAGGGCTGCTGGCTTTATTTGTGGGCCACACACCCAACTGTGCTCAGGGCTGACTCCTGGCTCTGTGCTCAGGGCTGATCACTCTTGGTGGGGCTCGGGGGACCCTGCGGGGTGCCGGGGATCGAACCCATGTCAGCACTGTGCAAGGCCAACACCTTCCCCGCTGGACTATCACTCTGCCCCCCACTCATAAATTCTTCTTCAGGTTGCCTCTCCAGTCCCCCAAGATGTGGTAAAACCTCACCCTGCAATGTCCCCCCTGAGGGAGCAGGTGACAGAACTTGTCTTTTATTTATTTATTTTGCTTTTTGGGTCACACCCGGCGATGCACAGGGGTTCCTCCTTGCTCTGCACTCAGGAATTACTCCTGGCGGTGCTCGGGGGATCATATGGGATGTTGGGAATAGAACCCGGGTTGGCCACGTGCAAGGCAAACACCCTCCCCGCTGTGCTATCGCTCCAGCCCCAACAGAACTTGTCTTAGTGTCCTAGAGTGTCTGTCTGCTGCACTCATCTCCTGCCTCGGACCCCCGCGCCCCCACGCTCCCCATACACGGTTGCGACCCCACTGTCCTTACCTGCCCGCCATGGCCTTGTAGTAAGCAAAGATCTGGTCTGCCAGCTTATAGACAAACTGATCGAAGCACAGGTTCACCTGCAGGAGACGAGGGACGTGGTTGGTCTGGGGGCCCTGGCACCCTAGAGAAGGTCTAGCGCATGCATCTCCTCCGGGTCCTTCTCGGGGACACAGCAGAAGGGTAGCGGGAAGGGGTCATCATGCCCACACCAGGGGGCATCGGCTTTCGGGGGGGTTATGCCCGCAGACCTCTCCCTGAGGCCTGGCCCTCACCAGCCCCTGCAAACACAGATGGACCAACTTCCTGGGAAAACCTCAGCTTAGAAACTGTTTCTCAAGGGCAAGAGCAACACTGTATGACTGAAAAGGTAATCGCAAAAGTTTGAAAGTCTGTAACTGTATCTCATTGTGATTCATTAAAAAAAAGAAAAAGAAAAAGAAAAAAATAGGGACTGGAGCAATAGCAGTCGGAAGGGAGTTTGCCTTGCACGCGGCCAAGCCGGTTCGATTCCCAGCATCCCATATGGTCCCCTGAGCACCGCCAGGAGTAACTCCTGAGTGCAGAGGCAGGAGTAGCTCCTGTGCATCACCGGGTGTGGCCCAAAAAGCAAAAATAAAAAATAAAAAAAGTAAAAAAAATAGGACAGTAGGGAGGGCAATTTGCCATGAATGTGGCTGACCTGGCACCCCATGGGACCCCCAGAGCCCACCAAGAGTGATTCCTGAATGAAGAGCCAGGAGAAAGCCCTGAGCTCTGCGGGGGGGGGGGGGGGGGGGGGGGAGGAGCAAGCCAAAAAATAAAAACTGAAAAAAAAAAAAACAACCGAAAAACAGCTTCTCCAGTTACAAGGGGCGGGTCTTGCCCTTTACCCTAGAAGGTGGCACCGGGTTTGAGGAAGGCAGGTTGGCGGTGACAGAGTTGTCGGGACTGGGGCGTGGGGTGAGCTCCGTGGAGAAGTGCCCATTCCCGGCTTCCTACTCCCCAGCTCTGCCCCGGGGGGTCCCTCCTACTCAGAGCCCCAGCCTGTCCCCGCGGGTGCCAGCCTGGGCACAAACAGACCTTGGCACCGCCTAGCGAGGCCACCACCAGGGTCCGGGGCTCCCCTCCAGCCTTCCTGGGGCAAAGACCCCCGCATGGGGCCTGGGTGTCTCCTCAGCCCTGGTGACTGTCTTCTGGGCCCCCTGCGTGGCTGTCCCTTCATGGCCCTTCTCTGTGGGTGGGCCAGGCTCTGAGCGCATCCCTCCATCCAGGACGTGAAGTAGGGGGTCACTGTCCCTGGACCGGGGGTGGACAAAGCCTGGCCGCCTGCGTCGAGGGATGGCCTAGAAAAGGGGTCTTGATTGGCCCTTTGGTGCTCAGACTATACACTGCCTTAGGCCTTGTTTGTTGTGGGTTTGGGGGGGTCACGCCAGCAAGTGGCCAGCGGCTGCTCTTGGCTCAGTGCTCAGGGGTCACTCTCAGTGGTGCTCGTGGAACCAGCCTGTCCTGGGGATGTTGAACTGGGCTTGGCCCAGCAGTTACGGGCAGCCTCCCGGGCATTTTCCCCCTGTCCCAATGCACGCCCCTCTCCCCTGCCGAGTGAGGCCGAAGGGGTGCAACCCTGGTGGCTAGACAGACAGGTGGACATTCAGATGGATGGATGGAAGGAAAGACGGATGGATGGGTAGATGGACAGACAGACGGAGGGATGCATAAATGGGTGGACAGATGGGCAATGGAAGGAAGGACAGATGGACAGATGGAAGGAAGGACAGACGGACGGATGAAAGGAAGGACAGAGACAGAAGGAAGGACAGACGGACGGACTCAGGGAGCGCTGTGTGTGCCCGTCACTCGCCTCAGCCTCGATCTCGTCGTACAGGAACTGCTTCTTGAACTTGGTGAGGGCATAGTAGGCGCTGTCGTTGTACAGGTCCAGTGGGTACAGCACATACCTGGGGGGGGCGGGGGGAGGTCACAGTCGGCCCTGCGCTCCGGGGCAGGGATCACCTGCGGGGAAGTTTGGGGGCTGCCTGCCCTGGGAGACAGAAGGGGAGGTGAGCACTGCCAGCGCCCGGGGTCGGACAGACACGCCAGTGGTGCCCAGAAATCGAGTGTGTGTGTGTGTGTGTGTGTGTGTGTGTGTGTGTGTGCGCGCGCGCGCGCGCGTGCATGCTGACAGGGGCCACCAAGCCTGGGGAGACCCAGGGCTGAGGGGCTGGGCTAAGGGCCGCCTCAGAATGTGCTGGACAGAGCAGTGCCCCACCCGGCCCCCACTGGGCCACCGCTGAGCCCCCCTCCCCACTTCCACCCCCGCCCCCCTCCACCCCTGCCAAGCCTCACTCCATCATGGACGGCTCCTTGGTCTCCAGGATGTGGTCGGTGAGGATCCAGGGCATGGACATCTCAATGGGGAACTGGATGCGCCGGCCCATGGTCAGCTCCAGGAAGAACTCGCGGAACCAGAGCTGGGAGAGGTCGCAGCACTGCTGGAGGGCTTCTGGGGGCACAGCCGGACAAGGCGCCGTCACCCAAGGGTCCCCCAGCACCCCCACGCGTGCATCCCAGTCCCGGGGGTGGGGGAGGGAGCTTACACGCCTGTCCCCAATTTCCTTTTTTTTTTCTTTTTGGGTCACACCCGGTGATGCACAGGGGTCACTCCTGGCTCTGCACTCAGGAATCCCTCCTGGCGGTGCTCGGGGGACCCTAGGGGATGCTGGGAATCGAACCCGGGTTGGCCGCGTGCAAGGCAAACGTCCTCCCCGCTGTGTTATCGCTCCAGTCCCCCTGTCCCCAATTTTCATCGGCCCCCCTCCCCTGACGAGAATATTCAACTCCAGTGTAAAAAGCACATGTGCGAGGGGGGCCGGGGAGACAGTGGGGAGGGCACCGGCCGCGGCCGACCCGGGATCCACCCCCGGCATCCCATAGGGTCCCTCAGCCCTCACACCAGAGTGACACCTGAGTGAGGAGCCAGGAGTCAGCCCTGAGCATGGCCGGGTGTGACCCAAAAACCAAAAGAGAAAAAGAAGGGGAGAAAGAAAAAGAACAAAAGTACACACAAAAGCCAGACCGCGTGGTGGGTCCCGGGTGCTGGCTCAGACCCCAACTCCGCCCTCAGAGGGACACTGGGGTCAGGGCCGGGACACAGGTTGGGGGCCAGCCTGGAGACCAGAGCTCAGAGCAGAGACAGCCCCCAGCACAGCCGGCTGGGTAGCACAGGTGTGTGTAGGTGTGTGTGTGTGTGTGTCCGTGTCTGTGTGTATATCTGTTTGTGTCTCTCTGTGTGTCTGTGTCTCTGTGTGTCTGTGTCCATGTCCATGTGAATGTCTGTGTGTGTCTGTGTCCGTGTGTGTGTGTCTGTGTGTGTGCGTGTATGTCTGTGTATGTGTTCGTATGTGTGTCTGTGTGTGTGGCCTGTGTATGTGTGTGTTTGTATCTCTGTGATGGTGTGTGTCCGGTTTCGTGTGTGTCTATGTATGTCCATGTGTGTGTTCGTGTGTCTCTGTGTCTGTCTGTGCATGTGTCCATGCGTGTATCCATGTGTGTGTCTGTTCATGTGTGTGTCCATGTCCATGTCCATGTCCATGTGTGTCTGTGTGTGTCCCTGTGCATGTGTGTCTGTGTGTGTCCATATATGTCTGTGTGTGTTCGTGTTCATGTCCGTGTGTGTCTGTGTGTGTCTGTCTCTATATGTGCGTCCATGTGTGTCCGTGTATCCATATCCGTGTGTGTGTCTCTGTCCGTGTCTGTCTGGTGCCTGTGTGTCAGTATGTGTTCATGTGTGTCTGTACGTGTTCGTGTCCATGTCCGTGTGTGTCCGTGTCCGTGTGTGTCCGTGTGTGTCTGTGTCCATGTGTGTGTCTGTGTGTATCCGTGTGTTTATGTCAGTGTGTGTGTCTGTGTGTCTGTGTGTTCATGTCTGTCCAGCATCTGTATGTGTGTCCATGTGTGTGTCCATGTGTGTCGTGTCCATGTGTGTTCGTGTGTGTCTGTGTCCATGTGTGTGCCCATGTATCTATGTCTGTGTGTGTGTCTCTGTCCGTGTCTGTCCGGTGCCTGTGAGTGTGTCCGTGTGTGTTCATGTGTGTCCATGTGTGTTCGTGTCCATGTCCGTGTGTGTCCGTGTACCTGTGTCCATATGTGTGTCCGTGTGTGTTCGTGTTCGTGTGTGTCCGTGTGTGTCTGTGTCCATGTGTGTGTCCGTGTGTTTATGTCTGTGTGTGTGTCTGTGTGTTCGTGTCTGTCCGGCATCTGTATGTGTGTCCGTGTGTGTGTCCATGTGTGTCATATCCATGTGTGTGTCCGTGTATCTATGTCCGTGTATGTGTCTCTGTCCGTGTCTGTCCGGTGCCTGTGAGTGTGTCCGTGTGTGTTTGTGTCCATGTCCATGTGTGTCCGTGTATCTGTGTCCATGTATGTGTCCATGTGTGTGTCTGTTTGTGTTCGTGTCCATGTGTGTCCGTGTGTGTCCGTGTCCATGTGTGTGTCTGTGCGTGTCCGTGTGTTTATGTTTGTGTGTGTGTCTGTGTGTTCGTGTCTGTCCGGCATCTGTATGTGTGTCCGTGTGTGTGTCCATGTGTGTCATGTCCATGTGTGTGTCCGTGTATCTATGTCCATGTATGTGTCTCTGTCCGTGTCTGTCCGGTGCCTGTGAGTGTGTCCGTGTGTGTTTGTGTCCATGTCCATGTGTGTCCGTGTATCTGTGTCCATGTATGTGTCCATGTGTGTGTCTGTTTGTGTTCGTGTCCGTGTGTGTCCGTGTCCATGTGTGTGTCTGTGTGTGTCCGTGTGTTTATGTCTGTGTGTGTGTCTGTGTGTTCGTGTCTGTCCGGCATCTGTATGTGTGTCCGTGTGTGTGTCCATGTGTGTCATATCCATGTGTGTGTCCGTGTATCTATGTCCGTGTATGTGTCTCTGTCCGTGTCTGTCCGGTGCCTGTGAGTGTGTCCGTGTGTGTTTGTGTCCATGTCCATGTGTGTCCGTGTATCTGTGTCCATGTATGTGTCCATGTGTGTGTCTGTTTGTGTTCGTGTCCATGTGTGTCCGTGTCCATGTGTGTGTCTGTGCGTGTCCGTGTGTTTATGTTTGTGTGTGTGTCTGTGTGTTCGTGTCTGTCCGGCATCTGTATGTGTGTCCGTGTGTGTGTCCATGTGTGTCGTGTCCGTGTGTGTCTGTGTCCATGTGTGTGTCCGTGTGTCTATGTCCGTGTGTGTCCCTGTGTGTGCCCATGACCGTGTGTGTCCTAACGTGTCCGTGTGTGCGCGTGCACGTGCGCCCGTGCCCTGCCCGCTCACCGCTGATGTTGAGCAGGTGTGTGAAGAAGAAGGACTGCTTGTGGAAGTCCTCGATGGCCAGGACGATGGGCCCGTCCAGGCTGCTGCGCAGAGTCTTCTTGGAGCCGCTCTTGTCGGCGATGAGCGACTCGAGCATGGTGCGCACCATGTACAGCTGCAGAGGGAAGGGTGGGCGACAGGGTCAGGGGCTGGGCGGCGTCTGTGGTGGGGCCCCCGTGTGGAGTCCCGGTCCCTGCCTCCTGGGGGTGGGGGGGCACGGCTCCGAAGTGGGCGGCCTGGCCAGGTGCCCGCCGACTGCCTGGGATTGTGATCTCGGACGTGCAGTCTGATTCCCCATCTGCTGCCTTGGGCCGGGGGGAAGACGAGTCTGAGAAGAGTCAGACCCTTTTCTCAAGCCGGCTCCTGCCCACTGGCACGACTCAGGGGTGGCCGGGCCCTGGCATCACGTGATCCTCGGCCAATACCACGGGCCACGCTGGGGCGCAGCTGTGCCCGGGAGGGGGGGGGGACTTAGCAGGGCATGGGGGGCTGCTGGCCCCTGCACGCCCCGGCCCCACGGTCTCGCGTATGAGGGCCGAGGGCGAATCTAGAACCTTCCTGACTGTGAGGGCCGCCAGGCTGGCGCAGCCCTGCCCCTCGGGGTGGTGGCGGGACCCACACCGGCCCGGCAGGTGGCTTTGTACCAGGGATCGGCAGCCTCTTCGGCCTTGAGCGCCACCAGTGGGGTGAAACATAGCCCTCGGGGGCCACTGGCAGGCCTAGGACACAGACGGGAGGGGGAGCGGGAGGGAAGGAGAGAAAGGGAAGAGGGAGAGAGAGAGGAGAGAGAAAGAGAGAAAGAGAGAGAGAAGAGCGAGAGCTATTGTACACCGCGGGGAAGTTGGCGCCTCTACAGGAACCGCTCGGTCCAACACCTTGGCTGTCCCGAAAACCCAGCTGACCCTGGGACACCTGGAACTGCCCCCTGCTGGCCAGTCTATGAGCCAGGCCCCTCCCCTCGGCCCCCCTACGCTGACAGTCACGCAAGAGAGGACCCCTGGGGGTCGGCTCTGGATCCAGCTATTTGGGGGTCTTCTACTTCCCTCTACGGGGCACTGGGTTCCCCTGGGTGTACACTGCCACAGCTGGACACCCCCTCCCCCCGGAGGGCATCAGGAGATCTCAGCTGGCCACTGCCCTGAGGCTGGCACTGGTCACTCTGCTCTCTGGACCTCGTGCCCCCAAGCATTAGACAGGGGGAGGGGACCACGAGGGTCTGAGGGGGCCACCATTTCTTCTTCTCCCTAGCCCCACTCTCTCTGGCCTCCTCTCTCTCCCTTGTCCTAGTTAACTCAGAACTCACAGAGAGAGATAGATAGTGGCGTGCCTGGCAGAGCCCCCCGCTCCCCACCACCCTGATATCCTGGGCTGCGTGGCATCTGGGAAGACAGTCTGTAGGAGGTGGCAGCAGGATGAAGAGGAGACCAAGGGAAGGGAAGGGACAGCAAAGCCTTCCGGCCCCGCCCCATATGCAGATCACCCCCACGTCACGCCCATAACCACACCCCTATATGTAAATCACACTTTGTCATGCCCCAAGTGCTGATCAACACATGCCACGCCCACAACCACGCCCCATATGTAGATACGCGCTGCCACGCCCCATATGCAGATCACACCACGCCCACAACCACGCCCCTATATGTGAGATGCTCTGCCCAACCCCATCTGCCGATGTCCCTGACTCCTAGCTCAATCCTTGCCACGCCAGTGGTCATGCCAACTATACGCAGACAAATCCCAGGCCACCCCACCACGTGTCCCTGCCACCACTCAGCAGACACGAACAGGGAGGAGGTGATAGTGAGAAAAGGAGGTTTGAAGAGAAGATTGCCAGGCATGTGGACCAGGGGTTCCAGTCTGGGGCTTGTTTAAAACCAGCAACCTGGGTAAGTTCCCCACAGGTCCACCGTCCTGAAGGCGGTGGCCAGGATTTGAGGCACATGCTGGGAGGTGGAGACTGTTTAGTCCTGCACAACCTCTTATTCAGAAACCCCACTGGCCCCTCGGAATGTCTCTTGATTCCTAGACTTTCTCTAAGGGTTTTCGTATCTGTTAGTGGGACAGGGGTGGGCGTCGTAGAGAAAAAAAGGGATCAGAATAAACAGTATGATCTGTTCAGGGCTGCCTTTTTATAATCAAGATCATCAGAGCTCAGAGAGGTCCAGACATTTGCCCAAGATCACCCAGCAAGTCAGGGCTGGTCTGGGGAATTCTCAAGCAAGGGCGAGGGTGGGGTCCCTGAGGTTCATAGCTTAGGCTTTCAATGCTCCACGCTTTGGAGTCTGGGGTGCAGGGTTCACAAAGGACCCCACCAAAGTTGCCCAGATGACACATCTGCACACAGGGCTGCACTGAATGTGCCCGGTCTTTTCATATTTTTGTTCGCTTGTTTTGTTTTGGTGCCACACCTGGTGGTGCTCAGGGCTCAGGACTCACTCCTGGTGAGGCTTGGGGGACCCTATGTGGTCATGGGGATCGAATCCAGGTCAGCCGGATGCAAGGCAAGCACTCTCCCCACTGTGCCAGGTCTCTGGTCCCAGGTCTCTTGAATCTTTTTTTTTTTTCTTTTTGGGTTACACCAGGCAATGCTCAGGCATTATTCCTGACTCTGCACTCAGGAATGACTCCTGGTGGCACTTGGAGGACCTTATGGGATGCGGGGGATTGAACCCGGGTCGGCTGCATACAAGGCAAATGCCCTCCCCGCTGTGCTATCGCTCCAGTCCCTCTCCTGAATCTTTGTCCAATGCTCCTGCCTCCCTTTCAAAACAACACAAGCTGCTCACCCCTGTCCAGTCTTCCTGAGGGCCCCCCTCCATGCCTAGCCCACCCCAGGGGTCTGGCCAGGAAGCCGTCCCACCATCCAGAGGGGCTTACCTGGGTGCTGGACGGTCCCACGGCACGGCGGGGCACCTTGATGTCAAATCCACCCTTGGGGTCCTTCTCACCCCTCAAGCACGGGTCATTGGGGGGCTCCCGGCCCCCCTCCCAGTCGCAGATGGTTTTCCGAATGGCCTGCAGGACGCTGGGGAAGGAAAAGCGGGAGACTCAGGGCCTGTTTGGAGAGTCACGAGGTGTCCCCAGCCTCCACCCTGAGGACTCCAGGTGTGTCCCCGGCTGCCTCCCCAGAGGGTCTGGGATGACCGACCTGGGGGCCAGCCTGAAGCCTGCATGGTACCAGTGCCCTGGGGACCCTGTGAGGGCAGGGTAGTGGCCTTCCCATTGCCTTGGCTCCTGGCCTTGGAGGTGACCATTTCTCTCCCCAGCCCACCTAGGACAGCTGCAGCTTGCTCACACATATGTTATGCAAGGACCAGAGTGAAAACACAGCGGGGAGGGCGTTTGCCTTGCACGCGGCCAACCTGGGTTCAATCCCCGGCATCCCATATGGTCCCTCAAGCACCGCCAGGAGTAATTCCTGAGTGCAGAGCCAGGAGTAACCCCTGAGCATCGACAGGTGTGACTCAAAATGCAAAAAAAAAAAAAAAGAACAAAAACAAAACAAAAACAAAATAAAAAACCACATATGCTGTGCAGGTTAGGGAAACTGAGGTACAGATGAGGAAGGTGAGCTTAATCCCCACAGCCACACAGAAGAGAAGGGAGTGACCTCCATGTCCAGCCCCGATGTCCAGACCTCTAAGAAGGTCCCTTGGAACTTGCTAGAAGGGTCAGTGTGTGTTCCTAGTGGGTGGACAAAGTGAGGAACTCAATCTGAGGTCAGCTCTGTGTACTCTTGGTGTCTGACAGCCCTGTTTTCTGTGCATCCCCAATTTATGATCACCCCAATTTCTTTTTATTTTTTAATTTTGATTTTTTTAGGCCGCACCCATGGTGCTGGGGATTTACACCTGGTTCTGGTTCTGTGCTCAGGAATCATTTCTGGTGGTGCTCAGGGGACTCTATGGGATGCCGGGTATTGGACCTGGGTTGGTTGTGTGCAAGGCAAACGCCCTCCCCGCTGTGCTATTGCTCTGGCCCCCATCACCCCGATTTCTTGTGCATTCCTAATTTCAGAGGCAGTTCTGATTTCTGCAATTTCTCCACACGCTCCAATTCTGCGTGCCCCTGATTTCTGATGGACCCCAAATTCCTAGAGTAACCTGGCTTGAAGATGCACCCTTGATTTCTAATATACCCCAATTCCTTTGTGTTTAATTTGTCTTGGGGGCCACACCCGGCAGTTCTCAGGGCTGACTCCTGGCTCTGCACTTAGGAATCACTCCCGGCAGTGCTCAGGGGACCCACCATAGGTGGTGCCGGGGATCAAACCTGGGTCAGTGGTATGCAAAGCAAATGCCCTCCCCGCTGTCCAACCCCCCCCCAAGCCCTCCCCCAGTTTCTGTGTTTCTGATTTCTTTATATCCCCTAAGTTCTTGTGAGCCCCCCGGTGGCCGGTACACCTCGGTTGCTGTGCACCCTGGTTTCCAATACACCCTGGTTGCCTGGGCGACCCCGCCAGCCCCCCGCGTCCCCTGCCGTCACCTGATGAGCACGTTCTTCTTCTTGCGCACGGCCTGCCTCAGGGGCTCCCGCAGCGTGACCTGGGCGAAGTCCTGCAGGGCGGCGTAGATGGTGTTGCGGATGGCCTGGTTGAACACGCTCTCCATGCGGCCCATGAGCACCTGCAGGCCCTTGATCATGGCGATTACCTGCGGGACAGGATGGACGGGATGGTCAGGCTGCCCGTGTCTGCGTGTGTGTGTGTGTGTGTGCAAGTGTGTGAGTGTATGTGTGTCGGTATGGGTGTGTGCGTGTGAATATGTGTGTGGGTGGGTATGGGTGTGTGTGTGTGTGGGTATGGGTGTGAGAGTGTGTGTCAGTATGGATGTGTGTGTGTGTGGATGTGTGTGTGTGAGTGTGTGTGCGGAGGGTGTGTGTGTGAGGGAGGTGTGTTTGTGTGTGTATGTGTGTGTAAGGGCAGGCTCACCTAGGAGCACTGAATTGGGAGCCTTTCCATACGCACCTACAGACCTGAGTAGTTTTTTTCCACCCTGAAATATTCCCAAGTGATAGCTGGAGTGATAGCACAGCAGGCAGAGCGTTTGCCTTGCACGCAGCCGACCCAGGTTCGATTCCCAGCATCCCATAGGGTCCCCCGAGCACTGCCAGGAGTAATTCCTGAATTGCAGAGCCAGGAGTAACCCCTGTGCATTGCCAGGTGTGACCCAAAAAGCAAAAAAAAAAAAAAAACATTCCCAAGGGATATTTAGAATCTTTTTTTTTCTTTTTGGATTACACCTGGAGATGCTCAGGAATTACTCCTGGTGGCATAATGGGATGCCAGGGATCGACCGAGTCAGCCGCTTGCAAGGCAAGCGTCCTCCCCGCTGGACTATCGCTCTGGCTCGGACGTTTAGAACCTTTGTTTTGGAAGTAACTTGGCTACTTGCTATTGGATTACTCTTGTCTGGCCTATGTGTCAGGGTGGGGAGTTGGGGGACCATTCTGTGGATTTTATGAAGTGTTTTAGGGTGTCGTTTCTGACAGGGTCATGGAAAAACAAATCAAACAGGAAATAAACAGTTATCTCTAGAACGACAACCTGGTAGGAGAAACTTGTTTTTTTTTTTGTTTGCTTGTTTGGGGGCCACAACCAATGGAGCTTAGGGCTGACTCCTGGCTCAGTGCTCAGGGATCACTCCTCTTGGGGCTCAAGGGACCCTGTGGGGTGTCAGGGATCGTTGCAGCCTCACTGGGGTGTTTTTCGGGGCAGCCCTTGAACCTGATATTTCCATACCCTGACCCTGAATGAGCGTCTCTCCCTACCTCGTCCAGGGTCTGGCTTCAGTTCCACCTGCTGTTCACGGCCTTCTGAGCCATGAACCATGCTCAGGTCGGCATGGTGGGTGCACCGCACCCCCATGGGATGCCCTGTTGAGTTAGATCTGCACCCAAACGCCTCTGTGAACTAGAACCCTCCACCCCCGCGAACTCACCCCTTTCTTCAGTTCCGGGCTGTGAAGGGGTGGGGCCCAGGCATACCTTCCAGCCATCTGCATTACCTTCCTTCCTTTCTTTTCTTTTTTTTCTTATTTTGCTCTTTTGGGTCAAACCCAGCGATGCACAGGGGTTACTCCTGGCTCATGCACTCAGGACTTACTCCTGGTGGTGCTCAGGGGACCATATGGGATGCTGGGATTCGAACCTGGGTCAGCTGCATGTGAGGCAAACGCCCTACCCGCTGTGCTATCACTCCAGCTTTTTTCTTTCTTTCTCTTGTTCATTCTTTCTTTCTTTCATTCTTTCTCTTTCTCTTTCTTTCTTTCTTTCTTGGTGACACACCCAAGTACAATGCTCAGGGCTTATTCCTAGTTCTGGCTCACTCAGGGGTTACTGCTGGCAGTGCTTGGGAGCTCATATGCGGTGCCAGGGATGCACCAGGCCTTGCCTACATGTGCAAGGCTGAGGCCTTTCTGCCCCATGCTATCCCTCTGGTCCTGATTTTACTTTACTAACAGGAGGGATGCTTTCCTTGGGCGTTTTAGAAATACAGGTGTTTCTTATTATTCCGAGGATCAGTTCTGTTGTTGTTGTTGTTGTTGTTTTATTTTGTTTCGGGGTTAGTAGGTTTAGACCTGGCTCTGCACTCAGGGGCCACTCCTGGTGGCACTCAGGGGACCCTATGGGGTGCCAGGGATTGAACCTGGGTGGGCTGTGTGCAAGACAAGCACCCTCCCCACTGTGCTATCGCTCTGGCCCATAGGACGAGTTTTCCATGAGGGAGCTGAAAACTGAGAGGGGAGAAGAGGAGAGGGCAGGGAAGCATCTGCCCGGAACGGCCCCACACCCCCGCAGCAGCCTCAGTGATAAGGGGGTGCAGGGAGACACCCCACCTCCACGAAGGCAAACTTCTCCTCGCTGGTGTAGTTGTAGCGTGTGGCTCTCTCATACTCCTCAGCCGTGCCCGGGCAGTCCTTGTTGCAGAACTTGTCTGTGGGGTGCACCAGCTTCCAGGAGTACTGGGGAGACAGACAGGTGACCCATCACAGAGGTGCCTGCCTTCTCGGGGAAAGGACAGTCAATCCCCGCCCCACCCCCAGGGACGGTTCTGACGCTTGGGCACATCCTGGGGTCAGACACCAGAGGGTCCCCTTCTAGGAAGGGAACAGAGGAGAGAAGCAGCTCCTTAGGAGGGGGCTTGGGATGGGGGGCAGAGAAAGGGTGGGGAGGGGCCGAGGTTTCTTCCAGGCCACATTGTCTATGTCCAGAGTGATGGGGGGGGGGCAGAGATAGTGACCTCAGGTGCCATTGGGGGTGCTTCCTGTGTGTCTTCATTTTTTTTTTCCTTTTTTTGGCCACATCCAGCGATGCTCAGGGGTTACTCCAGGATCTGCACTCAGGAATTACTCCTGGAGGTGCTTGGGGGACCCTACAGGATGCTGGGGATGGAACCTGGGCACCTGGGCATGCAAGGCAAATGCCCTACCCTCTGTACTATTGCTCCAGCCCCGTGTGCCTCTTAACGCAGGTAGATTTCCAGTTAAGAGAGAATGGGGCACTTTTTTTTTGAGGCAACACCCAGCAATGCTCAGGGCTGACTCCTGGCTCTGCACCCAAGCATCACCCCTGGCATTGCTCGGGGGGAACCCTGTGGGATGCCGGGGATTGAACCCGGGTCAGCAGCGTGCCTTAGCCCAGTGCTCTCTCTCTGGCCTCAAAGTCTTTTTTTTTTTGGATCTTTTTCTGCAAAGGGGCCAACGGGTCAGCCAAGTTTGGATTCCAAAGGTAAAGAGCCTAACAGGGTGTATAGGTCATCGCCATCCTTGGCTCAGGGCCTTTGGGCTGGGGACAGCATGGGCCAGTGGCTGTGAGGACACCCACCACTTCCATGACGTGAGCACTCCACTTGGACAGCAGCTGCAGCCCGCGCAGGGCCAGGTCGAAGAGCTCCCGGTACTCCTCGTCCGACTTCTGGCTGTCCAGCCCGGAGCCCGTCACCACCTGGGGAACAGGATGACGACAGACGCATCACCTTAGCGTCTGTGAGACGGTCCTGTATGCACGGACCCCCCTCTAGAACACAAGGGGGTGCCCCCCACGATGACACCACCCAGAGGGGGAGGCCAAGCCCCCCAACCCCCGGTGGCTTTGCTGGTGCCTGGCTAAACGTTCAAGTTCCAATTCTGCAGGAGGGTGGGAGGGAGGCCTCACACACGCCCCCTGGTGGCCGATCTGAACAGCAGGGACTAAGGCTCGTCCCTGCCGTGATAGATGCCGCCTTGCACGTGGCCACCCGGGGTTCCATCCTCGGCTACCCACAGAGTCCCCCATCACGGCCAGAAGTGATGCCTAAGCACAGAGCCAGGAATAATCCCTGAGCACTGACTGTGAACTCCCCACCCCACCCCCCAAAAGGACTCCTAAGGAAGTGACTTCTTTCCTTCCTTCCTTCCATCCTCTCTTTCCTTCCTTCCCTCCCTTTTTTCTTTCCTTCCTTCTTTTCTTTTTCTCTCTTTCCTTCTTCCTTTCATTTTTGGTCCACCCCGGCCTTGAGTCGCCCCAGCCCTCACTTTGTTCCTATTGAGGACTCACGCCAGCCTGTTCTCAGAGGCTGCGGCCACTCTCAGCAGCTCTGGGTCAGGATAGAGCCATCCAGCAGGGCTAGGGGCCATGGGAGCTATTTCCAGGGGTGCTCTGAGGATGAAATCCAGGGCCCTGCACACACTTGACATGTATTCTGCCACTTAAGTAACCTCCCTGGCCTCTCAGCATCTTTAAAAAAGAAATTAAAAAGAGGGGGAGATAGTGCTAAGATTTTAATCGTGCTCAGGGCACCTGGAGACCACCCCCTCTCAACTCACCCCGTGATTCTTAGCCAACTAGGTTGATGGTTCAAGGCGCAGTGTTCTGCGGGCAGTTTCGAGGGTTATCCCTGGAGCTGCATCCCCAGAGGGTCGGGGTCACCATCTGCTCATTCAGAGGGTGTGGGGCAACCCATGGAAGGTGGTTATGGGAAACCTAACATCACTGGGAACCAGACTTTATCTTCTCCTCTCATCCCGAACCCTGGAATAGCAAGGAGGCCCACATCTCAACAACTCCTAGCAAGACCCGGGCCTGGCAGGCATGGATCTGACGTCCACGCCCGTGTCTCTCCTGACTGGGTGCAATGGCTTCTCACTCACTCTCGGATCCACGTGGGGTTCAGAAAGCCCATTTCTCTTGCTAACTCACTGGGGGTGCTTTGGGGTTTTGTTGTTGTTGCTGTTATTTATTTATTTATTTATTTATTGGCTTTTAGGGTCACACCTGGCAATGCTCAGGGTTTACTCCTGGCTCTGCGCTCAGGGATCACTCCTGGTGGTGCTTAGGGAACCCTATGGGATGCCCAGGATTGAACCTGGGTCGACCACATGCAAGGCAAACGCCCTCCCCGCTGGACTATGGCTCTGGGCTGGGGGTACTTTGGATCTCTGCAGAGATGGGAGATTCTGGGGCTGTTACTACACCACAGACACACACAGGGTGGCACCTTCTCTGCCCCTTGGGAGACGGTGCCCCCCACTCCCCTTGCAGACAATCACCCGCTCCCCTCCCCCCCCACATCCAGCAGAGGGGAGTGAAGGTAGTTGCTGGGTAACTCACCCACACACACACACCTGTGATGCTCGATGCTTCCCGCGGTCTCAGCACCTTCCAGGCTGCGGGGGGTCTCCCAGTACCCCTGAGCCCTATGCGCCGGGGGGGTGTTGGGGGGGAATTCCCCCCATCCTTGCTCCCTGAGCATAGGGACTCCCCCATACTCCCTGCGTGTGTGTGACTCATCCCCCCGTTCCCTGAGTGTGCAGGCTCCCTGCTTGCGGGGTGCTTCCATGCAGCCTGCTCCAGGACTGAGGGGTGGGATGTGGGGTGGGGTACCCGGCGCCCTGTGCGCACGCGCGCACGCTCACCTCGCTGTTGCTGTAGCGTGCCAGCTCCGAGATGAAGCGGATGTGGTCCTCGCGGATGTGCACCATCTGCTCGCAGATGTTGTACTGGGGGCTGGCGCTGCTCTGCGTGCAGGTCCACCTGGCGGAGACGCGGGGTCGGAGCAGGGCAGGGGGGCGTGGGTGGGGAGCGGCTACTGCTGGTGATGCACCCGGGCTCAGCCCCTGGGCGGCCTCGACCCCTTACTTACCCTGCTCAAGGCCAGGGTGGAGACCCCAGCAGAGCTAGAGCTGGGGAGTGGGGGGAACCCCAGCTCCGCCAAGGGCCAACACTGCAGGGTGAGGCTGGGGGCTGAGGTGGGCATGGGGTAATTCAAACACCAGGCACCTCCATCGCCAGTTGTGTTCCAGAAGGAGAAGCTCCCACAAGCCCGTCCCGGAACCCAGAGGACGTGAGGATGGAGCCTCTCCTGCCCCAGTCTGGGGGACATGGGGGCGTAAGAAGAGCTGGAGTGAGGGGTGTGTCCTGCAGGGTGGGATGGTCTCCACATTCAAGCTGATGTCACACCTTGGCTCTTACTTGGTCCTGACGCTATGAGCATTGGGGAGCAGTGGAAAGGGTCACTCTGCCCAGGTCCCCCTCCCTGCTGTGGTGGATGATGGGGCCGGGACATGAAGATGATGGGGGAGCAGGGGTCCTGCAAATCCAGGGGCTCGTTCAGCTTGGAGAGTGAGTGCAAGACACACTCTGGAAATCCCTCTCAAGAAGAGGAGGTTGAGGTGATACCCAGACAGAAGGACCCCCTCTCCCCCCAAGACCCCAGATCACAGCGTGGCCACTATCTGAGCATGGTGTCCCAGCACCTTGATGACCAGGTTTGGGGGGTGACCATACCCCCTTACTAACGTCTTCACAGCAGTCTGAGAAACCTGTCACCCCCCCCCGCGCCCCAGGACAGGGGACCGGCTGTCGCTGACCCTGAGGTCCAACCCACGCCCTGCGTTCTGCTGTCCCCGCAGGGATAGAGAAGGGGCGGGCACTGCGGAGAGCTCTGCACACTCTGGAACCTTCGCGTCAAGGGGCGGGTCCCAAAGCACTCAGAGGCTCCGCGGGGGGCTGCAGTGGCCCCTCAGTCCCCTGTCCGGCGGGGCACTGGCTCACTTGCTAGCTTGCTCGCTCGCTCACTCGCTCTCGAGGCTGGCAGGGCCGAGACACATTACGGCAGGCACTCACTTGGACTTGTTCTCTTCATAGTGAGCACTGGTCTTAATGTATCTGGCCAGCTCTATCTGCATGTCGCCGAAAAGGGGCACCACCTGCAGCTGCTGCAAAGGAAGCGGGACAGCGTGAGTGCGGGCGGAGGGACGTCACACACACGGAGACACCGAGGCTGCTAGAACCGGGGGAGTTGGGTCACCCAGGAGGACAGACATCTCAGCAGCCCGGGTGAGCCCAATAGCGCCTTTCTCGGGAGCAACACGCTCCCTTTTTGGAGATACTTAGACAGAGCCATCTGTTAAGGAAGGGAAGAGTCTGATCCTCTGGGAGTCCCCTGCAGTGCCCAAGGCTGGGGGTGGGATCTGGGGAGGGGGGGAACGTGTAAAAGTGTGCTCTGGGGGGCAGCTCTGGGGAAAAGTTCAAGTTGCAGCCTTGCGAAGAATGCCTCCAGGTGCTCAGGCTCCGCCCAGCCGAGCTCAGGCCCCACCCAGACACTGAGGCTCCTTCCACACAGAGGCCCCTCCCAGGCACTGAGGCTCCGCCCATTCGTTTGGCCTGCCCCCATGCACTTGACCACGGTTATTTGCCTAGGCCCCGCCCAGGCAGAGGTTCCTCCCAGCCAAAGGCCCCGCCCAGGTACCGAGGCCCCACCCATTCATTTGGGCCAGCCCCCATGCACTTAGGCCTTATTTGCCTAGGCCCCGCCCATCTGCCTAGGCCCCACCCCACCCTGCCTTCCCCTGAGCATATGCGCCTTATTCCCCCATCCAGAGGAAGGAACCCTTGGCACAGGGTCCAGGCTGCGTTTAACATTGAGGCTTCAGAGATTTCTTCAGGGCCCACAGAGCCCTCCTCTGGGAAGCATTGGACAGAGACAGTCCCCCAAGACGGACGCCGCTCAGGGGCATCTGGGGCCCAAGACAGGGGCTGTGGGGTAGCCCAGGTGGATGAATTCAAAGCCGACTCCAATCCTGGCCGCTCTGAGCTCTGGTTTATGCTGAGGAATGGGGCGGGCTCCTAGAAGCTTCTCTTCATCGGCGAGGAAATTGGGGAGCTAACACGTGGGGAGGATCTCTAGTTGCAAGGAGTTGGAACACTTGGGGTGTATGATGATGGGGAAGGGCGGGGGTGCCCTTGGGGATGAGATGGGGAGACAGAAGGGCTGCATCCCTCCTCTTCCTTCCCTTCCCCTTTCTCCTCTTCCTCCTTCTCCCCCTTTCCCTTCCCCTCCACATGAGGTCTTCAAAGTTCTGGTCACTGCATAGCCAGCTCAGGTCACCCCACTCCTTCTGGTCCTTCTTGCCCGTCCATCCCCCTCCCCTGCCCCCAGTGCCGACTTTACCTTAAAGAATTTATCGATCTTGCTAAGATTTATTCTCTTCTTGGCGTCCAGTTTGTAAATGTTGCTGACACTTCCGTCCATCAGGTAGAGCCCAAAGCCCATGACCTGGGGGGAGGGGCAAGAGGAAGCGTGTGTGTCAGGTGGGTGGAGGGGGGGAGCGGGCAGGCTAGGGGAGGGGGGTCCCTCGGGGGTGAGGGGGGATGGCACACACCTTCAGGAGCATGTGCTTCTCGCTGGGCGTTAGGTACATTTTGTTCTCGTAGTAGTCCACGCAGATGTTGACGATGTCGGCCAGCAGTTCCTCATAGCCAGGGATCACTTCCAGTTGCTGATGGAGACACTGAACGCCCGGCCCCCCGAGGTGAGTATCTCCTCACCGCCCTGCCACCTCCCTCCTCAGGGCCTGGAGCTGAGCTGACCTTGGTGCAAAGTGCCTGTCTGCAGGGGAGCCCTCAGCACCTGGGGGACAGGCGCCCCCTGCAGAGAGCACCCGGGAGCACAGACACGCTTCCCTCCACCAAAGGGGTGTTTGTGGATACAGGTCCGCCCCCCCCCAAAAAAAACCCTCACATTTTCAACTTTCACTTAGGCAGGATTTGGAAGGTTCTTTTGGAGGGTCTGGGAGCGCGACCACCACTCCTTTGTAAGGGAAAATGTTGAGCATTTCCACAGCACCACAAGAATCTTGGGAAGCCCACCCAGGCAGGACCTCGGGGTTTGCTCCAGTGTACAGGGCCTGCGGAGAACCCGCACAGAGTCCTGGCTGAAATTCAGGGGGATGGGGAGGAGGTGTGCTGGGCTGGGGCCAGCGACCTGCGGGTGGCCTGTGTGGGCTGAGCTGTCAGAGCTGCAGGCACAGCGTGATGATGGCCACAGCAGGCGTCCCGGCTTCTGTCCCCTCCACACAACAGCCCATTTCACAGAGGAGTTAACTGAGGCTCACACCTGATTAAGGCCTCCCTGGAGACCAGGGACCAGACTCTGACGCTATATAGGTCAACATGGAGAAGGGGCAGAGTCTCAGGGAGCACAGACGAAGGATGTTTAGGAGAAGGGGCTGGGGGTCTCAGAGAGCACAGATGAAGGACGGAGATGGAGGGTGTCTCTGAGGGTGGGGGTGATTGTGGAGATGGGGTGTCTATGGAGGGCTGGTGTCTGTGGAGATGGGGTGCTTGTGGAGATGGGATTGTCTGTGGAGATGGGGGTGTCTGTGAAGGTCGGGGTGTAGTGCAGCCCCGCGGGAGCAGATGCAACACAGACATGGGTCACGGGGCTGGCGGTCACCTGGGTGATCCTGTTGTGGTTGGCCAGGAACATGGACAGGTTCTGGGATTCCTGGATGGACTGGGGGTCCGCCATCTTCCTCAGGAACTGTGCCGCCCTGCAAGGTGGGGGTGTGGTTAGGCAGAAAGCCTGACCCCCCCATGGGCTCCACTCCTCCCTCCTCCAGTGAGACACCCCAAGAACACCATAACACCCAGGTACCCCAGGTGTGGCATGAGCTTCTGGGACAGAGAAGCCTCAGAGACTACTTCTCTAAAGACTCCCCTGGTGGGGCTGGAGTGATAGCACAGTGGGTAGGGCATTTGCCTTGCACTCAGCTGACCCGGGTTCAATTACCATAGGGTCCCCTGAGCACTGCCAGGAGTAATTCCTGAGTGCAGAGCCAGGAGGAACCCCTGTGCATCGCCAGGTGTGAACCAAAAAGAAAAAAAAAGACCCTCTGTTGCCCTGAGTCCCAAGCCCCAGACACATACTTGCTTCCTGCTCTGGGCAGCTCCAGCTCAGAGAATGTGTGTGTGTACGTGTGTGTGTGTGTGTGTGTGTGGAGTGGAGGGGGACCCATTTGTGGAGAGGGGGGCTCTGTAGTTTCTAGGTTGAGAAGGGGTGGGGGCGGGGCAGACCTCTTGTAGGCGGAGTGGTCATTCTTCACGCTGCACTTCATGTTCTTGAGTTCGTCCAGCACCGCGAACATGTTGATGAACTTGCCCAGCGTCAGCAGGTAGGCCTCGGACACGAAGTCCTTCCTGCGTTCCGCGTGGCACAGCCGCTTCACCTCGCTGCAGAAGCGCTCAATGGCCTTGCGCTGCCGCCACAAGAAGGGTGCGCCATGGGATGGGAGCCCAGAGAAAACCCCCGCGTCTGGGGTGCCCAGGTCTGCCCATTGCTGCCAGCGCCCCAGGGAGAAACTCAGATGGAGGGAGGGGCCTATCTGGGAGGTGGGAGTGAGAGGTACTCAGGGAAACACCTGCACCCCAAAAACGTGGGAATCCCAAGGGACCATCCTCACCCTGTTACTCCCACTCGCACGTGGAATTCAGTGAGCAACCAAGAAATGAACCACCGGGGCCAGAGTGATCGTACAGCGATCGTACAGCGATCGTACAGCAGGTGGGGTGTTTGCCTTGCACACTACAGACCGAGGAGTCTGCACCCTATAGGGTCCCCCGAGCCCACCTGGAGTAATCCCTGAGTACTAGAGTAATCCCTAGAGCCAGGAGTAAATCCCTAAGCACGGCTGGGTATGGACCCCACCCCCCAAAAAGAAAACTGAGAAAGGAAAGCAAAAAAAATGTACTGGCAAAAGAAACACAAAATCATCCTTAGGCTCTGTGCAAAGTACGGCTGTAATCTGGGTGAGGGGATTGGACGGGGGAACTTCAGGACGGCTCTGAAACTTAGGGCGTTGGGGACTGTGAGATTCTATGCATATTATGGTATGAGTCCATATGACCCCATTTCAGTGGGGTTAGCTCTAAAGCCACGCCCCCAAACACGCTAGGCCACGCCCCTAACCACGCCCTAACTAGCCACGCCCCCAGCTATGCTCTCACAAACCATGCCCCTAATTACCGCCCTGGCCTGGCCACGCCCCGGCCACGTCCCCACCAACCAGGTCCCGCCCACCAATTTGCAGCTAAGCCCCGCCCCCACCCCGCCCCGTCCCGCCCCCAATCCAGGCCCGGCCCACGCTCACCTGGAAGTACATGAACTTCATGAGCTTAGTCACCTCCGGCTCCAGCACTTCCACTGTCTTCTCGTAAATCTCCACGCGGTTGGGCTGCTCATTGCACTTGACCTGCAGGGGCGTGGGCATGCTGGTGCTTAGTGCCCAGCCGCTGGCTTAGGGAGTGGCCCTTCACTCTGCAAGACAAGCTGTGCTCTGGGGACCCAGGGAGGGATGGTGGGTGCCCCTGCGTGAGGGTGTGCTTAGATGGGGCGGATGTGTTCCCCAGGGATGTACTGCAGGAAGAAGGTGCTGGCCACCCACGCTCGCCCTCAGCTCCATGCCAGGGGGGTCCGTGCTGGGACTCCTAGCTGTGCCTTACCAAGGCTAAGGAACTTTCCCGCCTCTCCCGTTAGCCCTAATCAGAACCTCACAAAATTCTGAACAGAAAATATGTCCACTCCAACTGCCCTGGCCACACACTAATGGCCAACAACAACACATCGGCAATAAACTGTTTCCCCAGCTGGTGGTTCTGGGATGGGGGACCCACAGAGTAGAAATTTCCATGCCCTCCCCTCACAATCCTAACTAAAAATGCTGAGAAGGGGCCCAAGGGCGCCCCAGGGACAGCTGCGTCCTGCCATGTCTCCATGGGACTGGCAGATGTTGTAGGGAAAACAGCAGTGGCACTCAGTCCCCAGAGCCTGCGTTTGCAGAACATACCAAATTCGACGAGCTTGCCTGCCCACAAAGTGGGCAGGTGCCGGGGATCTGCAAGGCACCCACCAGGCTGCTGGGAGCAGGTTTCTCTGGGGCTGAGGTTAGGGGACCCGAGGGGAAAAGTCCTGTTGACACACATGTGTCCCGTGGCCCAAGGGAACCGAGGAATCAGAGGACAGTGATGGTAGTAAAAATAAAAGAAAGGGTGGTAAAAATAGTTCATGGGCCCTGATGTACCCAGAGTCAATACGGAATGAGAAGGGAAACCAGTTGGGTGGGGGGCAGTGTCTAGAGAAGGGACCACGGTTGGGACCGGAGCGATACAACAGGGAGGGCATTTTGCCTTGCACACAGCCGACATGGGTTCAATCCCTGGCATCTCCTATAGTCCCCCAGGCACCACCAGGAGTGATTCCTGAGTGCAGAGTCAGGAGTCAGCCTTGAGCCTTGCCGGGTGTGAGCCCCACTCCTCCAGCAAAAGAGAGAGGGAGAAAGGACCAAGGTGGTGAGTGGGGGTGACTGAGCAACACCTGCATTCATCCAGGGCAAAGATCCAAAATACATGTAGCCGCGTTCTCAGCCCACAGCGGAGGTGACTTGGTGCAAGGAATACGCATGTGTGCGTATGTGTGCGTGCCCGAGAGTGCGCATGCGCGTTATGCTGACTTGTTACCTTTTCACCGTAGTTTGGGGCCAGAGCGTTAGTGTCTGCGATTTAGGGAATAACATCGGTGGTACCCATGCTTTGACAGTGTCATGGGAGGGGAACGAGTTCATGGCTTCCCCTTCTGTTCTGCTACTGGAAGGAGCTCAGTTCCAGGACGGGGTGTGTGTGTGGGGGGGGGGAGGGGGGATGGAATTCCTGGAGGGGCAGGCAGGAACCGTCTCACCTGGGGGATGGCCCGGGAGCAGCTGCGCCAGGTATAGAGCATCACCGCGTACTCCTGCCCCTCCTCTAGCATCTCGTTCTGGAAAGAGAAAAGCGCTAAGTGCCTGCGTCTCTGAGCATCGACTCCCCCAAGCCCCCCACTTTTCCCTACCATGCCTTACCCTGCCAGATCCCCAAGACTCAGGCATGGCCTGCGAACAAGCAAGACCAGAAACACTCGGGGGGAGAGTTATCTGAAATGGAGACTCTAGGCTCCTTGCCCAGGTCTAAGGAATCAGAATCTGCATATGAATCCTCCCCCTAACCCCCAAAACTTCCCCACTTCTGGACATTCCTGCTCCTCAGATGGCCCCTCTGGGCTCTGCCACCTGACACAAGGCCCATACAGAGGGCAGCCACCTGAGAAAAAGGTAAATGTGTGTTCCTCGATAGCAAAGAAAAACGGCACCCTCTGAACCACTGCGGCAAGAAACTAATTTCAGGGCCAGAGCAATAGCACAGTGGGGAGTGCACTTGCCTTGCACGTGGCCAACCTGAGTTTGATCCCCAGCATCGCATAGGGTCTCTGAGCATCACCGGGTGTGGTCCCCAAACAAAAAAACAGACTATTTGGGAGGCAAAAGTTACACCTATCAGAGATGCTTGGAGCTCAGAGGAGGGGCTAAGAGATAGCATATCAGGCACGGGAGGGGTGGTGCTTGCCTTGAATGCGGTCAATCAGGGTTTGATCCCCAGCACCCCACAGGGTCCCCAACCACTGCCAGGAATAATTCCTGAATGCAAAGCCAGGAATAACCCCTGAACATTGCTGGGTGTACCCTCCCCTACGTCCCCACCACCACCACCAAAAAAAAAAAAAAAAAAAGGAAACCAACTCAGAGGAAGATGGTGATGCTGAGTGTCTACTGCTGGCATTGAGAATTGTTCTGATGAGTGAGGCAGCAGCTAAGAACGGGATTAACTCCAGGACTGGCTGAGCGGGGGTCTCCCCTGGGGACAGTGCAGTACTAGAGAGCACTCGTGTCTGGGAAGAGCCCTCGGCATGATTTTACCAGCAGATAAATGATCAAGACCCATGGTTAAAAATAATCCGAAGCAGATGGCCAAGCCTGCCGCAGCACGAGAGATGAATCTCTACTGACTCATCAATTGCTGGCTTCCAGCAGAGCACACGCTGCCCCCAGAGTCACCGGTTCAATGACAATGGTGATACAAGTCACCTCACAGAAGTTTAGGAGAAGGGAATGGGCTGCGTGGCACTTGCGCGCGCGCGCGCACACACACACACACACACACACACCTGCGCGCACATGTTCATCATCTCCAAGGTGAATTAAGAGGAATCCCAGGTAAAGAAAAGTTAGCCAGGGCCAGAAAGATAGTGCAGTGGGTAGGGCATCCCCTAGGCAGTCTCCCAAGTCAGCCGAGAGTGATTCATTAGTGCAGAGCCAGGGGTAAGCCCTGAGCACTGCTGAGTGCACACCCCCCTTCAAAAAAAAACTGTAGCACTGTCCTCACATGTGGCTGACCTGGTTTTGCTCCTTAGCCCCCCCATACAGCCCCCTGAGCCCCGTCACAAGTGATCCCTGAGCACAGAGTGAGGAGTAAACCCTGAGCACTGCTGGGTGTGGCCCCGAAAACAAAACAAAATCATAAAAATGGTAGCGGTTACGGCCGGCAACTAGCTTTGGAAAGTAAAAAGCCACAGCCAAGGTAACCTGGCCTGGCTTGTATTTGATGTCACGAGTCCTCCCCCTCACATGTGGAGCTGATGACTAATCTGTTTTCCACAGCCAATGTCACGGACAGGTCACACTTTCAATTCCTCATTTGAGGGCTTTGTAAATCATTAGCCTATGCTCTGGCACTGGGGGAGGTCGGTGAGCCAGCCCGCAGGGCCCCAGAATGCGGGGTGAGCACCCCCATACTCCGTCCACACGGGTCTTCTTGCATCTTCACTACCACCCACTCTGGGCTGTGTTCTGGGAAGAGAAGTGACTCCTCCCAGTGGGGCCAGACTGATGAAGTCCCCCTTGTCCCCTCTAGTCATGGAGGCTATTCCAAAGTCCTGTTCTGTTCATGCACTGAGAGATAGAACAGCGGGGAGAGCGCTGGCCTTGCACACAGCAAACCTGAGTCCCATCTCCTGTACTTCAAAGGGTCCTCCGGGCACCACCAGGAGTGATCCCGAGCACAGAGCCAGGAGTAGGTCCTGAGCCCCCACCCCCCAAAAAAAACTAACTAAAGAAGCTAGAACCTGCTTTGCTAAAGAGACTAAATTCCCCAATGCCCACAATGAATAAGACACCGACAGAGGGGCTGGTGCAAGAGTACAGCGGGAGAGCATTACACACAACTACCCGGGTTCGATTCCCGGCATCCCATAGGGTCCCCAGCCCCACCAAGAGTAATTCCTGAATGCAGAGCCAGGAGTCAGCCCTGAGCACTGCTGGGTGTGGCCCAAAAAACAAGCAAACAAAACTCACAGGAGAGCGAATCCCATATGGACCCTCCCCACAAGGGACTGAGGCAAAGTGGGGCTCAAAGGTGAGGAGGGGGGACTGGAGCAATAGCACAGTGAGTAGGGCATTTGCCTTGCATGCAGCTAACCCGGGTTCGATTCCCAGCATCCCTTAGGGTCCCCCGAGCACTGCCAGGAGTAATTCCTGAGTGCAGAGCCAGGAGTAACCCCTGTGCATTGCCAGGTATGACCCAAAAAGGGAAAAAAAATAAGTGAGAATGGTTTGCAAGACTGGAAAAGTAGTAAGGGCACCCATCTGAGAAGCAGGGGGGAGTTGGGAGGTTGGTCAAGCCCGGGGGCACTGGGCAGCGCCCCACACTCACCATGCTGGAGTGGACAGTGGCCTGTTCAATGTACCTCGCGATACCGGTGACAAACGCATTTCTGTCTTCAAAGTTGGTGTCGAAGTTAGCCTGTGGGAACACGAGAGGGGGTGAGGTGGGTGGGGGGAAACGGGGACCCTCCTCCACATCTTCTCTCTCTCTCTCTCTTTCACATACACACACACACCACCCTGAATCACAATGGCTCCCCCCATTTCATCTGCTTCCATGGAAGGGAATTGGGGTGACCCAGCTGTGGGGTGCACTTGTGAGTAGGGGTGAGGCCACGCTGGTGTCACTCATTGCTCCCCCCACCCGCCCAGCGGCAAAGACACTGCATGAGGGCATGAGGGTGTAGCTCCGAGAGGGAAGCACAGTATCAGACAGAGGTGGCCACGGATCAGAGGTTGGGAAAACAGAATCCGCCTGAAGCCACGAAACTGAGAACCTGCCCAAAGCCAGGAGCGAGAAAGGCCAAAGCAATGAATACAAGGGCCCAGGAGATAGGATAATGGGCAGGGAACTTGCCGTGCACGAGGCCAATAGGGCTGGAGCAACAGGAGAGCTGGTAGGGCGTTTGCCTTGCATGCTGCCAACCTGGGTTCAATCCCCGGCACCCCATATGGTTTCCCAAGCCCCACCAGGAGTGAACCCTGAGTGCAGAGCCTGATCACAGTTGTGTGGCCCCCAAACAAAAGCCAAATCATAGAGCAATATATATAAAATATAGTATATATATAATTATAGTATATATAGTGTATATATCCACACGGCAGAGTCTGGCAAACTCCCCGTGGTATACCCAATATGCCAAATACCAGTAACAATGATGGGTCTCATTCTCCTAACCCTGAAAAAGCCTTGAATATGGCACTTTAAAAAAAAAAAATCTCAGGGCTAGGACGAAGAAGACGTTACTGGCACCTGCTCGAGGCAATCGACGAACAACAGGGTGGTCGTGATCGTGAGTGTATATATAATTTTGTAATTATATCGCTCCAGCGATAGCACAGCGGGTAGGGCGTTCGCCTTACAAGCGGCCAACATGGCCGACCCGAGTTCGATTCCTCCGCCCCTCTCGGAGAGCCCGGCAAGCTGCCGAGAGTATTCGATATGCCAGACACAGTAACAACAAAGTCTCCAATTAGAGACGTTATTGGGCCCGCTCGAGCAAATCGACGATCAACGGGAGGGCCTTTACCTTTACCTTTATCAATATATGTTATTGGACATAACATAAATAAATCTCAGGGCTAGGAAGAAGGAGATGTTACTGGTGCCTGCTCGAGGAAATCGACAAACAACAGGATGATCGTGATCGTGATCAATATATGCTATATATTATTTGTATATATAGTATATAGTTGTATAACATATGCAAATAATATATAGCATATATTGATATAATTACAAAATTATATTACCTGTTTCACCTTTTGGTAAAAACATACAGATGTTTCTATGTATCATATTTATTACTTAACATCTACTTTACTATTAATAGTCTGTGATATGGCATGTTTCTATGTTCTATAATTGCTTTACATAATAGACAAATACTTAAGTGCACAGGCAAACATTAGAAATAGGGATGTTAATGTGAACAACTTTATGAAAATTAAAAAAGAAATGTAAAAAAAGGATATATACACCTGTATGCAACTATGTATACATACATGAATAGTTTAGGGAAATGGTTAGTTGTTACAGTTTCCTATACTGCTTGTCACAAAAAAAAAAAGTAACTCAGTGAAAATTTTAATCTGGGTTCAAAACACAGTGACTCAACCACATTTGTGTGTTGAACTCAGGTATGTGCTTGATAAATCTGGCCCTGAATGTAATCACAAATACCTCATGAGAAGCCAGAGGGATAGGATGGCGGTGAGGGGGTGCTTGCCTGGCATGCAGTTGACCTGGATTGGGTCCCCGGTACCCCATAGCGTCCCTGGAGCAGTGCCAGGAGGAGTGAGCCTTGAGCATAGTTGCGTGCGGTCCAATAACCAAAAGGGGGAAGAAGAAATTTGCACGTGCTTCTATTAAGAATCAACAAATTGCTGAAGCATTAAGTCTAGCGTTTGTCTTTCACGCAGCAGACCCAGGTTCGATTCCCAGCATCCCATAGGGTCCCCATGCATTGCCAGGAGTAATTCCTGAGCGCAGAGCCAGGAGGAACCCTTGTTGCATCGCTGGGTGTGACCCAAAAAGCAAAAGAGAGAGAGAGACAGAGAGAGACAGAGAGAGACAGAGAGACAGAGAGACAGAGAGACAGAGAGAATCAGCAGATAACCCGAGAACCTTCAGAGGCGGAGTCCGGTGTGTGAGCACGGAAGCTCTGAGAGCAAATATCCGAAGCCTGAGATCAGAGCTGCGGCCCCGCACCCACTCACCTGGTACATGATGGACGAGGGCGGCGGCTCGATGCATGGTTGCTGGTCGGGCAACGGCAGCTCCTCCAGCAGGTCCACATTGGACAGGGCGTCCTCCAGCGTCACGTGGGTGGTCATGGTGGCGACGTGCGGGGGTCCTGCTGTGGGCAAAGGGAGCGGGGCAGGAGGTGAGAGCTCTCCCCTCCCCTTGGGGTCGGGATTCCTTCCGGGGAGGGGCTTGGGGCTGGAGGCCACGCCCCCCACACCCCTACCCCTAATTGTGAGAATCCTTTGCAGGAGGGTGGGGGGCAAGGGTCCCTTCCGGGGAAGGGGTTTCAGGATGGAGGCCACGCCCCGTCCCTACACACTCGCGCACACACACACACACACACACACACACACACACACACACACCCTCCCCTAACTGTGAGACTCCTTTGCAGGAGGGTGCGGGTCCAGGGGGGGAGGCGGGAGAATGTGGCTTAGTGGAATGTGGAGCATTTTGGGACAATTTGTTTTGGGATCACACCTGGTGGTGTTCACGGTTGACTCCTGGCTCTGTGCTCAGGGATCACTCCTGGCGGTGCTCAGGAGACCCTATGGGATGCCAGAGATGAAACCCGGGTTGGCCCAAGCACCCTCCCCGCTGGACTATCTACGGCTCCGGCCCTCAAAGCAGAGCATTTGTCTTGCCCGTGTGAGGCCCGGGATTCGATTCTACAAGAGCAAAGACCAAATGTGAGAATCCCTGGACTCTGACACCAGGCTCCTATATTTACCTTCTGGGCCAACTCGCCACCAACTCAGAGGGCTGACCCAGCAGAGCGGCTGGTGGAGAAATGAGGTTCGGAGCAGGGACGGATGCCGGCTGCCACCACCACGGTCCCTTGAGGCCCGAAAACCAGGCCAGGGGCCCCAGACTGCCCATAGCCGCTGTTTGCATGGGGTTATACAAGAGTTCCACCCGGTGACCGGCCAGGCAGCACGTCCTAAAGGGTCAGCGCAAAGCTGGACTCCAGGCGGCTTCCAGAAATTCCCCTTCACCCTCAGCAAACCCAGACCTACTTGCAGACACACCAATGAAAACTGAGGCTGCAGTACCTCAGCACTCAAACCATCTCTGGGCCCCGATACCGAGAAGCTTGCATGAGACTGAGGGTGGGGTGGGGGCCCCCTGCAGCAGCTAACATGGTGTTCCCGTTGCAAAACGCCGATCAAGACAGATCCACAGACGGAGTGGGCACGATAACAAGCAGGCAGGGCACTTGCCTTGCATGCAGGCCACCCGGGTTCGATCTCCCCCAGCATCCCATAGGGTCCCCTGAGCACCACCAGGAGGGATCTCTTGAGTGCAGAGCCAGGAGTAACCCCTGAGCATTGCCAAGTATGATCCCCAAACCAGGGAAAAATTTTAAAAATGGATCAAAGAAGAAAGCTGGTGGGGGCTGGAGCGATAGCACAGCAGGTAGGGCATTTGCCTTGCACGCGGCCGACCCGGGTTCAATTCCCAGCATCCCATATGGTTCCCCAAGCACCACCAGGAGTGATTCCTGAGTGCATGAGCCAGGAGGAATCCCTGTGCAACGCTGGGTGTGACCCAAAATGCAAAAAAAGAAAAAAATGAGAGCTGGTGAGACAGGACGGCAAGTAAGGCACTTGCCTTGCATGGGTGCCCCAGAATTGATTCCTGGCAGCCCATATGTGCCCCCCGCCCCGCCCCAGTCCTTCAGGAATGATCCTGGAGTCAGTCCTGAGCACCACAATCAGAAACAAAAACAAAGAAACGAATGGAGGGATGGCACAGAGGCTACCAGGTTCCTATGAGCCCCCAAACACCAACTCCCCAAACTCCCAGCTCACAGAACCGTGAAATGGGAAATCATTCGGATTTCGGCCAGAAACGCATTCCTAGCAATCCTCAGAAACCTCTTATCGAGGAGTATCAGGCAGTTACAGGGGTGAAGGCGCATCCTGGCACGGGGCAGGACAGGCCCGACCCCCAGCACTGCCTGGTCCCTTCCGAGCACTGCCAGGAGTAGCCCCTGAGCACCAGGCCCTCCCCACCCAGCGCCCCTGGGTACGGCCCACCCCTCACTCCCACCAACAGAAGCCCACGCCCAGGTGCTGTCAGAGTTGACATTTAGAAATGAGCACGAAGCAAAACAGCTCCAACCCCTGAGGTGAACGCAGGTGAGCCTGGAGTGAGTGGGCCCCGTTTGCCGCAACAGAAATCGAAAGACTCAAAAAAAATCCACCGAAAGAAATAGAAAGTGGGGAGGGCTGAGACCGACCTCCCAAAGAAGCCAGGCCCCAAACCGAGCTGAAGATGGGGGTTCCAGCCTAGAGGACAGTGGGGAGGGCGCTTGCCTTGCCCACGGCCAACCTGGGGTTCAACCCCTGGCACCTCAGAGGGACCCCCAAGCTCTGCCAGGAGCAAGTGCTGAGCATAGCTGGGGGTGTCTCTGGGCACAGGTAGGCGTGCAGGAAGGAGGAGGCACAGGGGGCTGTGAGTGGCTGCAGACCCTCCCCCCCACTCCAGGGTTCAGAGTTGCTTTGAGGAGTCACAGAATCGGCCTTATGAGGGGGGCTTCGGAGCAGAGGGACGCGAACCTGGCTGTGGGGGCTGGCACTGCAGCCCTGGGCTTCAGCCCACATCAGCAGCAAACTGCCCTTTACCTGAGCCTGACAACAGGTACACTTTTTTTTTTTTTGGTCACACCCGGCGATGCTCAGGGGTTACTCCTGGCTCTGCACTCAGGAATTACTCCTGGCGGTGCTCGGGTGACAGTATGGGATGTTGGGAATCGAACCCGGGTCGGCCGTGTGCAAGGCAGACGCCCTCCCCGCTGTGCTAACTGCTCCAGCCCTGACACTGAGCACACTTTCCTTCTTGCTTGAACTCTGCGGCAGGGAGCCATGGGTGAGCAGGCAACACTCCTCAGGGTGCCCTCCCCGGGTGGCGCACACCCTCCCATGCTCTCTGTCCCTCTCTAAACTTCACTCTCTCCTGCCTCACTCCCCAGTTCCTGGCGTGCCCCCCACACAACCCATGCACTGCTCCCCTCAGCCCACCGGGATACGACTGGCCTCTGGCTCCTGACTTCACCAGGAGAGAAGGTGGCCAACACAGCCAGGGCTCTGCCAAGCACTCAGTGATTTGTCTTGAGCGATTTCTGGGGGACGTAGTTAGGGTTTCCCTGGAAAGAAATCCCCCAAAGGGTTGCGATTATGAGAGACAGGCATACGGTGGGGTGCAGGGCAGGCATGTATGTCCCGGGGAAGCAAACAGAAGCTCAGGTGTGTGTGTGTGTGTGTGTGTGTGTGTGTGTGTGTGTGTGTGTGTGTGTGTGTGTTGGGGGGCCACACTGGCAGTGCTCAGGGCTTTCTCCTGGCTCTGTACTCAGGTCTCACTCCTGGAGGGCTCAGGGATGGAGCCTGGGTTGGCCGCGGGCAAGGCCAGCGCCCTCCCTGCTGTCCCAGGGCTCCAGCCCCCTGGAGGCTCCAGCTCGGATGCAGGGGTCAGGTGTGACCTGCTCTCCGTCCTGTACTTCCTCCTCCTGCTCCTGCCTCTGCGTAGGGCACTGCGGGCCCTGCTGGTGCGGAAGGATCACGTGCGCGGCTCCTTAATGATACAGTGCACGCGGGATCCCTGCCCAGGCTCTGGAAGCTTAAAATAGCAACTCCCTCATCTCCAGGATGAGACACGTGAGGGAGGGATCTGGGTGGGACTCAGGGATAAAGGTCCTGCCTTGGATGCTGACACTGGGTCACCCAGAGTGGGATCCCTGTCTGGGTTCTGTGTGGGGACGGGTGCGCCCTGGGACCAAGGATGTGGCACCCAAGGAACCCCCCGGGTGGGATGCGGAAGACAGTGTTAGGGGCAATAACCGAGAGGTACCACAGAGCAGAGTACCTCTGCAAAAATAAACACACCATGCGGGCTGGAGAGACAGCCGGGAGCGAGCCCTGAGCACAGAGCCAGGAGCAAACCCTGAGCACAGAGTCAGGAGTGCTCCCTGAGCACAGAGCCAGGAGCGCTCCCTGAACACAGAGCCAGGAGCGAGCCCTGAGCACAGAGCCAGGAGTGCTCCCTGAGCACAGAGTCGGGAGTGATCCCTGAGCACAGAGCCAAGAGTGAGCCCTGAGCACAGAGCCGGGAATGATCCCTGAGCAGAGCCAGGAGAGATCCCTGAACACAGAGTCAGTAGTGAGCCATGAGCACACAGTCGAGAGTAATCCCTGAGCACAGAGCCGGGAGTTATCCCTGAGCACAGAGCTGGGAGTGACCCCTGAGCACAGAGCTGGGAGTCAGCCCTGAGTACCACCGAGTGTGGGCCCCAAAGAACACAAATAAATAAACAACACCTACCAAGCAGAATCTGTGATAGTTGGACCAGAGCACTGGTACAGCAGGTAGAGAGTTTGCCTTGAACACAGCTGACCCGGGTTTGACTCCTGTCACCACCCAGGAATCTCCAGAACCCCACAACCACCACCAGGAGTGATCCCCGAGTGCTGAACCAGGAGGAAGCCCTGTGGTGGCCCCCAAAAAAACAAAAAACCTTGAGGCCTCACATGTTCTCTTAGCCCTTAAGCCACCGCCCCCTACTCAGGGCTTCTTCTCAGTGAGGGAGAAGAGTGCAGGGAGGATGGAGCAGTGGTCAGCGTCACGTCCCTGAGCACAGCTGTAGCACAAGACGGGATTTAGTTTTTTAATCTGAAACAATTTTATTTAAAAAAAAAATTAAGAAACAGACACCAAAAGCCACACCGAACAAATACAGAGATTTATCAGGCAGACAGGGACTGGAATGATAGTACAGCGGGGAGGGCAGTTGTCTTAGCGCGGCCAACCTGGGTTCGATCCCTGGCATCCCACACGGTCCCGTGAGCCCCACCAGGAGTGATGCCTGAGCACAGAGCCAAGAGTAAGCCCTGAGTACTGCTGGCTGTGGCCCCCCAAGCCAATAAATGGATAAATAAAGCAGAAAAACTCAAATTATTAGGTCAACAAATTCAGCTTTGGGGCTGGAGCAATAGCACAGCGGGTAGGGTGTTTGCCTTGCATGCAGCTGACTCGGGTTCGATTCCCAGCATCCCAGAGGGTTCCCTGTACACCAACAGGGAGTGATTCCTGACTACAAAGTCAGGAGGTAACCCC